TTTTCATGCAAGTCCAACGATGGACCTAGCACGTCAAAACGAACGTTTGACGTAGCTATGGAAAATACTAGCGAGGGAGCCGGCGAAGAACCCGAACCCCGACGTAGCAAACGTGCTAGAGTTGAAAAATCCTTCAGACCGGATTTTCTCACATATTTGGTAGAATTCGATTCCGACATTCTAATAAGTATGGTAAAAAATGAACCGGATTTTCTAACATGTTTGGTAGAAAATAAGCCACGGACTTATAAGGAAGCCGTAACGTCTACCGAAGGACCTATGTGGAAAGAAGCCATCAAAAGTGAGGTGGACTCTATCCTAAAAAATCACACGTGGGAATTGGTTGATCTCCCTCCGGGGTGTAAACCTTTGGGATCCTAGTGGATTTTTAAACGTAAAATGAAACCGGACGGTTCCATTGAAAAGTATAAGGCCAGACTTGTAATCAAAGGATACAAGCAACGTGAAGGCCATGATTACTTTGACACGTATTCTCTTGTGACGAGAATAAATTCCATTAGGATGATACTAGCAATTGCCGCTTTGCGGAATTTGGAAGTTCATCAAATGGACGTGAAAACCGCTTTTCTAAATGGCGATATAGACGAAGAAATCTATATGGAACAACCCGAGGGTTTTCGTGTTCCAGGCCAAGAAAAGAAGGTTTGTAAATTAATTAAATCATTGTATGGATTGAAACAAGCTCCTAAACAGTGGTACGAAAAGTTCGATCATGCAATGTTAATTAATGGGTTTAAAATAAACGAAAGTGACAAATGCATCTATGTGAAAAGCACGGTAGACGGCTATGTCATTTTATGTTTATACGTGGATGATATACTCATCGTGGGTAGCAATAATCTAATGATTAATTCTACCAAAAAATGTTAAATTATAAATTTGACATGAAGGATATGGGGCTGGCTAATTAATTCCTTGGGATTAAAATAATTAGAGGACCTAACGGTCTTACGCTAAGCCAATATAATCCCATTACGTTGATAAAATCCTTAATAAATTTAATAAGGATGAGTATCAAGAGGCAAGGACGTCATTGGATAAAAACGTACACCTGACCAAAAATCGTGGAGAGTGTATTTCTCAAGTAGAATACACTAGGATTATTGGCAGTTTAATGTATCTAATGAGCTGTACTAGGCCTGATATTGCCTTTGTGGTTAACAAGCTGAGTAGATATACTAGCAACCCCGGTGATGAACACTGGAAGGCAATAGTAAGGGTTTTGAGGTATTTACGGAAAACCCAAAACCTTGGACTGCAATATGGAAGATATCCAGCTGTACTTGAAGGGTATAGCGCCGCTAGTTGGATATCTGACATTAAGGACTCAAAGTCCACAAGTGGATATGTTTTCACTTTGGGAGGTGCAGCCGTGTCGTGGAAATCCTCGAAACAAACGTTAATAGCTAGATCCACGATGGAATCTGAGCTAATAGCCTTGGATAAGTGCACTGAAGATGCTGAATGGCTACGCCATTTTCTCGAGGATATCCCAAGTTGGGAGAAGCATGTCCCTCCAATACGCATTACATTGCGACTGTCAATCGGCAATTGGAAGGGCACAGTGCAATCTCTATAATGGTAAGTCTAGACACGTTCGTCGTAGACATAACACCATTAAACAATTCCTCACAACGGGTGTTATCACTGTTGACTACGTGAAGTCAAAGGATAACATAGCGGATCCACTAACCAAGTCATTGGATAGAGAATTGTTGGAGAAGTTGTCACGAGGAATGGGACTAAAGCCCGTGAATTGAAAAGTTCTATAGTGGATACCCAACCTAGTTGGTCCTAGGTTCAAAAGGGACAACTAAATTATAGAACGAAGGATGGTCACTGTGGGGGTCCCGAACTCCTACCCACTCCTCGTTGAAACAGTGACTCCCGCACGAGGTTAGCAAAAACGTTTGCTTTAATGATTCTAAAATGTTGATCTACTCGATAACATTGGAAGAGTATGCGGGATACTCGTGAAAGAATCTCATATGTGAGAGAGAAGAGGGCCACTTCAAAGGAGAACTGTAAAAGCTCAGTTCTTTAGAAACTCTTGCAGAACCTGGACGATGACCCACGGCCAAAACGGGCACACTCATGAGAACGGAACAAAGTTGGAAGGTTCTTGTGTAAAGATAAGTCAATGTTTACACGACGGCAGTATAGTTCAAGGACATCGAGTCTACTAGACAGCCAGTAAATAAACGTGTCTTTACAGCGGAAGGTTCAAAGGATTAAACCTACCTCTCTGTATGCAAGGATCATCCGGTGAACACAATGTGTCCTCCTATCTTCGTGTCTTTTTTAAGTCTCGAAAATCAATTTTCATTCATGTGGGGGATTGTTGGAAAAATGTCTTGAAATTGCATTAAATGGTAATTTTGGGGCAATTTTGTGAGTGGGGTCCACTTCCAAATTGGGTCGGGTCAAAGTGGTTTCGGATTGTCCTTGCTCAAGGCTACAATTCGATATATGGTACGCTCAAAACGGATAACGGGTGAATGATAAATTGATTCTCGAAGTTTACCCGTTAGAATGAAAAAACTGGGAAAAAGGATGGGTTTCTAGTGTGTTATTTCCCACACCAGAAAACCCAAGGGACTTGCAACCCTTTATAAAGGGACTCCCCCCTTAAGGAGTTAAGATTCCTAAGGGTAAAGGCTCTCTCCATGCGCGCAGGGGTGGTGGTGCAAATCAAATCCCGAAATCGGAGAAGAAAAACCGCGACTTGCGTGCGCGGGCGACCTACGGACACGAATGTCGTCCAAAAATCTATCTCTCAAGAGATACGGTTAAGTTTTGTTTTCTTCCCGAAACGCTTATTTTTTCCCAGCGGCAGAAAAGCTTCGGACAGAACCCCTTCGTAGGGTGTTCTGTTGGCTTCGGACAGAACCCCTTCGTAGGGTGTTCTGTTGGTGATGGATAGTGTACCCGGGGATAGCTTATCCGAGGGGTTATTCGAGGAATAACTTAGAGAGAAGTCAGAGCAAGTAGGAGAGAGAGAGAGAGTCAAATGTATTAAATGATCTCGATGTGTTCTACAAGGAGAATAAGGGCTGCTATTTATAGCAGCCATAAATGCGATGAGAGTACACATGTCAATAATCTAACGGCCGAGGGGTCACCTCAATCGGGGTGGCACCGGCATTCGCATGTGCACCGCATTAAATGCGGTGGGTGGATGTGACGCCACATTAAATGCGGTGGTTTCCTGTCTCCAAAAGGAATCTTCGATGATTGGGCTGGTAGCCGAAGGCTATCCCTGTGGCCGAGGGCTCTCTGTAGCCGAAGGCTTGGTATAGCCGAAGGCTTGGTATAGCCGAAGGCTACCGTTATGCCGAGGGCATGAAGATGCCTAAGCCTCCCGAATTCTGTCATTTTCTCCCATTAATTTTGTATGCTCGAATCTGGCTGCCCTGTGAATTTAGGAGTCTTCGGCCATCAGGCCGAAGGCATCCCCCGGTGCACTGTGAGTTCCTTTGAGCTTGGGCCGCGGTGCTTTGGGCCTCATGCACTCCTTGGGCCTGTTGGGCCTGTGTTGGAGAAGTAGGAGTCTATGGGCCGGGGGTTCCTGGGCCATATACTCCATCAGTTGGCTTCGGACAGAACACCTCGTAGGGTGTTCTGTTGGGGGGTCTTCTGGTCGCGCAGCTGGACGTTTTGAACCGTTACAACAATAAATGCCCAACGTTCTTATCTTTTAATGCAACGTTAAATGGACAGTTCATGGACGATTCAATGCCCAACGGATTGGTCATTGATGTCCAACGTTCAGGTCCATTAATTCACCATTGCTGGCAAGTGGTTTGCAACAACATACGACCTTACACGTTCTTACATACACTAGCTCACGTTTTTCTTCAAAAACACCTCCACTTACCTCTGAAAATTTCTTGAGTGTTCAGTCTTTGTTCTCAGTCTTTGTTCTCGTTCGCTGGAACTTTTGTTTGTGTGCTCAAACACTAGTTCGTAGTCATCGTATCCTGAGAAATGATTGTTGCAACGCTCCTAGCACCGTGGGAGGCAACAAATACGTTTTAAGGACATCGTGCATAGCACGAGCTTTGGCTAAATTCCGCTCCATCTCATTTCTTGTTTTTCTTTAGTCATTTTAATTAATTTATTTTAATTAATTTTCTTTATTTTCCGAAACACACCCAACAGCGGGTATGGGAGCCAGGATAACGGAGAATGCGGAAGCGTGAATATGGAGGCACCGACGGCAGAAATTGGGATGGTGGTGGAGGCCTGGAACGTAGCAGCTCATCCGTAGGGTGATGGAAGAAACCAGAGCAAAAAAAGAGGAAAGAAGGAGAAAAAGAAAGAGAAAATAGAAAAGGAAAATCAAAGAAAATTTATAAAATTATTACTACGTATAAAAGTAAAAGACATGCTTAGCTGGAACCTCTAAAATTGCTGATTTGGTTGTTTTTTCACACTTTATGGACTTAATTGACTCATTAAAAAGTACATGGACTCAATTGACTTTTTGCTAAGAGTAAGTGGACTTATCTGACAGTTTTCCCAACAAATAATGAATAAAGACTTACAAAAAACTTCCTCGATTCTCCTTTTTTTTATCTTCTGATTTTTTCCTTTCCCATTATACTTATTCACTTCCCTTTATTTATTCATTTTGTTTTAATGATGCATGGTTTTCAACCGAAGAGAGTACTGACTACTAGTGCCATAACATATGTACATTCATCACCAAGGTCTTCAATGGGTTAGGTGATATCTACACACGTGACTTTGATCACAACCCAACAATGTAATTATAGTTGGTAGAGATCATGTGTATTTTCAATCCTTTTCAATTGGGAATTTGACAACACCCAGTGGTCCATGGTTGAGTTAGGAAGGGGCTAAAGGGTTCTTGGACTCATTCTAACGGGTTTCAAGTACCTAACTTTTTAAACCTATAGAAACATGCCACTATCACATGCCTTAATTACTAGTTCTTTTTTTTTGCAGATTGAAAATTTAATTACTAAGGGGTATTATTAATGAAGTCGGCTTAAAGCTTGCACAATACAATTAGAAAGAATCGGGACCCACACTAGGTTGTCAGAAAGAGATTGAACTACTTGAACAAGACTGTGAACAACGCGATTCGCGGACAGCCACACAAAAGCATTAGAAATGCTGTCAAGTTCATTAAATCTCTATTGAGCAAGGCCACTTCCATTATAGAATTTATAGATAACGGAAACAATGGTTCTCCTTCAGCAAGTTCAACGCCTCCCTGACCCCATAATCTCGGCTTCCTTGGGTGATATATTCCCCTCCCAAGGCCTTGATACTTTATTTGTTATACAGTCCTGGTTTAAATAACTAAGAGAACATCACCCGTCCCCACAGATAGTATATTAGTATCCATCCACCTCAAAGGCTCAAAAGATTTTTTCAAGGAGGCGAATTAATTTGTCTTGACCATTAATCTGTTGCATTATCAAAATCCACCTCAAAATGTTTCGTAGTATTAGATGTCCTTGCTACTAGAGATTTACGGGTAGAAATCCTTGTGATTACTTATTCAATTCCTAGAAGTGGCTTGAAACAGAGATCTGCAGTAAAAGCATACTCCGTATTAAGAATTGATGAAGATCGTTGATCTACAGAAAAGCTCTCCGATCATTAACCTCTGGCTCAGCCAGTGCAACACCCCAATCCAGAAAAGTAGATGACTAAATAAAGTATATATCGACCAAAGAGATCTGAAAGATTATTCTACACGACAAATACGGGCCGCATTGCAACACCGCAGCAGGTGCACATAAAACTGCACTCGGGACTAAACACTTTTAGCTACGACATATATCTATACAAAGAAGCTAACGAGACAAGAGAAGAGCTCCATCCCTACTCTCGAGATTGGTTTCCAGGTTCAAGAAGAGATTCTCTGGCAGAGGAGTCATTTCCGGAAGCTCTGTCCTTCCAGATGCTATCGACTTCCTTGAACGTCAGGCCCTTGGTCTCGGGCACGAAAGTCACCACAAACCCAAAGGCTGCAACAGCCATACCAGCAAATATCAAGAAAGTGCCACCGGTGCCTATGGCATCGACCAATGACAGGAAACTCTCTGTCACTATGATATTGGAAATCCAGTTCACAGTGGCCGACATTCCGCCGCATATCCCTCGGTATGCTTCAGGGTATATCTCTGAGCTCATTGTCCAAGGCACGGTGCCCATCCCGGGCGAAAAGAAGGCAATGTAAAGAACCAAACCTATGACTGCAACCCATCCATACATCCTGTTGCCCGTGCTGGATGACGGGTCTAAGATTATGAATGATCCCGCAAGAAGAACAAGGGAAACTATCACGCCAGATAAACTTGTCAGGACTAACTTTTTGCGACCAATATAGTCGATGAGGTAAATTCCCAGGACTGTGCCCATGGCATTCATAAATGCCACGATCGTTGAGATAAGTAATGCTAATTGGTTTGAATGGAAGCCAGCCATTTGAACTATTGCTGGGCTATAGTACATCACTGTATTGATGCCAGTTAACTGCTGGAATGCCTGCAATAAATTCATGTTGCCCGTCTACTGGTGATTACTTATATATTTCAAAATATTCGGAGTATATTCACATGAGGTGTCAAATAAAGTACCTGTAGTCCAGCTCCAGCAAAAAATGCAAGTCTAAGTTCTTTTGATCTGAGAATATCTGTGTATCTGACAGCATTCTTTCTAAAACTTTCTTCCTCTAAGGCAGTAGCTAGCTGAACAATCTCCTCCTCCAAGCGATAAGGATCATAGATTTTGGAAAGAACAACTGTAGCTTCTGATTTATCACTCTGAAAAGGGGTTTGGTTTGGTTTGGTTAGTCTGTATTACTAGAGCATTGGCACACAACAAAGGAAAAATAAAAAAGTTGTTAAAATGGCAATTCACATTATCCTAGTATTTTGTACCTTCATGTAGAGCCACCGTGGAGACTCGGGCATGAATAGCATTAGACAAAACTGTATAATAGCTGGCACAGCAGATACTCCAAGCATCCATCTCCAAGTCCCGGGGACCTGCTCGATGATTTACACAGGACAAATGTTCAATATCCATGCCAGATCATTACACATGACAAATTTTAACTAACCAGAGCAATTAGCTAAGCAGTAAAAAGATTGGTCAGATGAATAATAAAAAGTCAAAAAACAAATGATTATTATATAACAAAAACTGAAACAACAATTGTTATGGCAATTATTGGATAATAACATAAAACCATAGCTTCATCATCAAGTAACATAAACATACTTTAAGGTACAATAAGGAACATATTGTCGTGAGCCAGCCATTGCTTTGACAAAAAATTATTACATCTGCCCAAAGTATTCACACTACCTTGATACCTTCCATCGTTGGATGTCTTCCTTATCTACTTCAAGATGTTTACTATTATCTTCAAATTTTACAAACTTCAAAAAAAAAATACCTTGGCCCCCAGTGACCCAGTCTTCACAGAAACAACATCTCAATTCTTCAGGTAGAAATAAGGCCTGCATTCAGATCACCTTTCCCATATCCTACTTTAACTACCTAATGAGACTTACTGGTTTGTTTGGTTTGGTTTCCATTATAGCTATTTACAATGTCCATTCTCCTAACTTGCACACTACAAACTTTTTTAGATTTTGTAATTCACTTACTCTTAGGGGTAGATATAAGGTTTACATGCATCTCATCCCCCTCAGCCCTTGGCAGACCCTACTTCCTAATTTCGCATGGGACTGATTGCAGTTTGTTTGGTGTCCTTCCACTTTTAGCTTGTCACGTTTTAACTTTCCTAATTTGAACATCACTAGTTTTTCTGCATACCCCACCAATAATCTTTAGTGTTCCTGATTAAACATTTTTGTCTTTTGTTTTCACTAGTCCATGCTGAAAGCTAATTATGAAGTGGAACCTAAATTAATTGTTTGGCTAAAAAACAAAATAACAAGTTGTCAAAATATAACAATATTCATACTGTCAAATTAATTACAATATCATGAAATCCTTGCATGTAACAGTTCTCACAGTTGATTTCAAACCACAATTTGATTTGCAGAAAGAATTTGTTGATTTTGTTACAACACTGAGCATAAAACACAGTTGCAAGCAAAGCTGATATCGTAAAAATACCATGAAGAGCACATCGCATAAGGACAAAGTAACACTTCCAACGTCTACTTGATAAAAAATTTACTCAAAATTTGTAAGCCAAACCACAATGCCCTTTCATGAGTACATAGTTAGGCTAAACTAATAATTCAGGAGATATTGTAGATATACTTAAAGGAGATAACAAAACAGAGGGACGTTGAGAATATTATAGAAGCATAATCCAGACAAAAAAAGAAAAAAAATATTGTTGATTGTTTTTGAAGGTTTGACACTGAAGTGTTTAAACATTAAATATTCAGTTTCTGATATGCATCGTTTGACAACCTAAGGAACCCTGTTCCACATCCTAGAAAAAAACAATTTCAGAAACATACGTTCATTTAAGAGATTGCTGCAACTACTCAACAGGGGAAAAAATCATGATCCAGACTTCTACGATGCCATATAAGACTAGGTGTAAATTGAACAACAACACACTACATACTTATGGATGAAATCCAAAAAAAAATTGAATCGACAGACAGGTGGACAACATGGGACAACAGAAAACCTCACACTTGAAGAATGTTCATGAATAGAAACAAGAAATCCTAGTTCTAAACATATACACGCATCTAGTTATGGATGAAAACATTAAAAAATAATACCAAATGAAAAGAAGCTACTGATCTCTGAAAATTGTCCATTATTACACTTACAGATGCAAATAGAATATTTAGGCAATTGGAAAGTAAATGATCGTGTTCAATGCAAAAGCCAGTAAAGATGACATTACTTGAAAGCGATAGATAAATATAATTTGGAGCCAAATCAGAACTAGTATAGGCAGGAAAGAAAGTAACAATTTCCTTCACTGATTTATTCATTGCGAAAACTATAATGCAGGCCCATAAATCTATCTTGATGCTGGTTCTTCAGAGCTGCACAGTTGAAAACCCTTCATGCAAAGAAAGCAGTGTGATAAAGAACAACTAAATACAACGTAGGCCAAGACATTATTATAGCAGCAAAAAGATGTGGCAAGATTCAACAAGCTCATTCTATTAAAATTGACCAGATAGTCTTACTCACCATAACTTCAACATGAGAAAGAAAACTACTACTTGGGCCCATGCATCCTGATGTCTAAATGAATCAGGCACTGTCAAGGCAATCAAAAACTTGTTTATGGCAGTATATTCCACACTCTTGGTTTGTCTATTTGAATCATATTCAAATCAAATGCAAATGATTTGTAATGATGGAATTTAAGATCACCTCTGTGTGTTCGATTTACATCGGGTATTCGGGTTCAAACCCATCCTTTTTGGTTGATTTGGGACTCCAAGGACTTGGGATCCCAGTTTTTGACTCAAGATGGCATAAGCAAAAATGATTAAAATGATTTAAAGATTTTTCACAGTTTGTCTATTGAAGCTCATAAAAGTTTAAGATATCTCAAACTCATTTATAAGAATGAAAATAATAAGAAGATAAGTGATAAAAAGTTGAATTTTAGAGAAAATCAGGAACATCTGACCTCAGTGAAAGCAAGATTGACAAGGTAGGAAATAAACTGTCCACCAGTAATCATTAGTGCATTGGTGCTCACAAGTCCTCCCCGAATTTCAGATGGTGATGCTTCAGCAATATATACAGGAGCAGTGACAGATGCGACGCCAACCCCAAGACCAACTAAAAGTCTTCCAAGTATAAGGACATAAGGACCTGGAGCTGCAGCCATAACAATAGCTCCCAGTGCAAAAACAACATCAGCTGAAAGGGTAGCTTTTTTCCGTCCATAAGCATCATTAATCCAGCCTCCCGCAGCAGCTCCAATCATGGCTCCAACCAAAGCCATGCTGACAATAGTTTCCTACCAAAACATAGATAGTTGTAGTACATAAATATATATACTGAAAAAATGAAACTGCTTCACAAGTATTGTTGTGATATTGTGCATGTATTATTCTGATATTTTCTGCAATGTGGGGCAGAGTGAGAGGGTTGAGCTAGATAGACAGAGAATACTTTTTTGGTACAATAAAAGTTGGGACTCTAGTCTTCAACTTCATATTTGTAAAAAGTTGCACATGTGAATATATGATATGGTTTCCCATTTCCCAATGCTCGATTCGATAGGATAGAGAGAGCCCTTCTAAATCGCCTCTCAGTATTTTAATGATTGGGCATTCCTAGATCCACCATTTCATTGATGCTAGTAAAAGATTATGTAAAGAATGGAGACAAGGGAAAGAATAGAATATGAATGCAGCTTCATACAAGGAATGAGTGGTTAGGTTATTTTTAAATTTTAAAGAAAGAAATGAAACATATTTGTATTATACCCAAATACTTTTGACCCCAAAAGATATTTATAAATGAAAAAGATGGCTAGATCTACATCTAGCCATTATTCTATGATTGTGAATGATGGCTAGATCTAGTCCACTAGTAGTTACTCTCCCAGCAATGAAATTGGCCAGAAAAAAATACAAGAGAAAGGCTTTGATTTAGAACATATCTTCTTAGAAATTAGGATTTGAGTTCTTTTTGTAAATGGGACTATAATTGGTAAGGCTAGCCAATACTGCTGTCTAAGCACATTCAGTCATTCTCCGATAACGCTTGCTCAACAGAAATAATGTGTCACCAACTCAGGACCCTTAATTTTCAAAATTAAAATACAACTTTCTTGTGATCAATCAGTTACAATAAAGCCATTCCATGAGCTTCTCTTACTCAAGTTCTTTCCAGATAAAGTCATTTCCATTCAAAGCACAATGTTGTAAGTTCACTGGGATAAGAACTAGATAAAGTACAAGCAAAGAATAATTCTATGAAACCTGCAGGAAACTGCTTTGATTCACCTCCTCAAATTCATCTTTAATGTACAAAAGTGCACCAGAAATTACTCCTGCAAACAATTCAGTCCATTAGATGCAAAACACTGAAAACTTTGATTGTGTGCACTCTAGCTCTTCAAATTCCAATCTTTATTAAACTTCTTAGTGGAAATGTAGCATTTTTTACAAGGACATATTCAGGTAAATGTGGCATTATTACACAAGATGGCATTTTTTCCGACCATACGAGCTGGTGGTGCTAGGATGTAGAGGATCCCACGGCCCAGGCCTACTTTTATTTTAGTATTTTTAGGGATTTTTTTATTTTTTTTTAAGTTTTTCTTTACTTTTTATATTTTTTTTATTTTTCCCATTATTATTATTTTATAAATACTTTTTATTATTTTTATATTTTTATTATAAAGAAAACTATGATTTTCTTATTAATAAATAAATCTATTAGAATGGGTTGAATAGGAAAAAGAGATACGGAGTATATATTACTACTATTTTTAGTCCTATTTAGGGCTAAAAATTAAAATACTAATAGAAATTCAGACATTTCAGCCAAAATTTCATTAATTCCACCAGATTCAGTCGATTAAGTCAATTTCAATGTTACCAAACGGGCAATGTGAAAAAGCATATAAAGTTAAAAGGTAAAGATTGTAAATTTGGTGACCCTTTTTTCGGCTTATTAGGTTAATAAGCCAATTTTTTCACCAAACAAGTACTTTTTGATTTCAGGCGCTGAATTGTGTAATAATAATAAAAAGTAAGACTGAAGTTACTTTTCTGGTTGTATTGACTGAATTTAATGTAGAAGATCATTTGTCTATTTTTCATATAATTTTTTCTTTGTTTTATCAAATTAAGTCAATTCCGGTGTTACTAAAAGTACTCTAATTTTAAATATTTAGTACTCCGTATATGATTTAACGCATAATTGATTAATTCCCATTTCAACGTGGGGTTGGTTCCCGTGGACCCACACAGCCTTTACTAACTTCGAATCTTCGATCAATAGATCCAATCATCCACCAAATCCAACACGACCAAACAATATGTTATGTGAATAGATAACTTCCAAAATCCGGAAACAGAAATTCTTTCATAGCGAAACATACATTAATATCAATACCTGTATCATAGCCAAAAAGGAGGCCCCCAATACCGGCAATGATGGTCAAACCCAGGACATAAGCATTGCTGAAATATGTAACCTTCCGGTCACCGACATCCAAGTACCCTGAGCTACCGGGCATCGATTCCACGGTCATTTTTCTTCAAATTCTGAAACTAAAATGAAGAACGAAATCCCAGATGATGGGGAAAACGGGAAACCGACGCTTCCGATGGGGAGGTAAACTAGTTCCGGAAAGAAAATCTGGAAATGGAAAAGCTTTTGGAATTAATTGAAAAATTTTCCGTGGTAGAGAGCAGAAAGATGGAAGAGTTGTGGTGAGTACTCCACCTGAAATCGATGGTGTTTTATAATGGAGTGCGTGTGACCTTTTGTGATGCGATGATGTGAGGATGGTGATGAACTCTTGACCTCACCTGGCCGGTGGGGTTCCCCACGCTCTTACCCGCGGGTGAATCTCAGCCGACTTCTGTTTCCTAGTACGGAGTAGTTTTGAAGAACGGTCAAATCCCTGAGAGAATCAAAACTCAAAATTGCTATATACTCCGTACGAAGTATACCGCATTTTGGATGAGAAATGCTATGGACCTATGGTACATAACTTGTACACAAAAGGTCTATTAGAGACAATTGGTACGGAGTTGCCTGTGAGCACATACAAGAATTGTCTGTATCCATAAACATTTACTTTTTTTTGTAAAAAGTACACTGACAGAAAAGTAAATGTTTGTGGACACAGACAAATTTGTCTGTGTATATAGACAATTCTTGTCCGTGTTCACAAGTAACTCCGTACCAATTATCTGAGACCGACATTTTGTGTACAAGTTGTGTACAACTTGTGTTCCTAGCATTTCTCATTTGGGATATGGGTAATTCCGTGTATATAGGAGTAGAACATTGTAAATATATTCACAAATAGGAATTTACGGGTATGAAATAGGGACGGACAAAAGAAAATCAAAAATTAATTAAATTCAATGATTAAAAAGAAATAAAATAAATGCGTCGTGCGAGATATGATTTGTTATGAAAATTTAAGATGCAACTAAACGATTAAAATAAATGGGTTCTCTCTAATTAATGACGAAGGGAATAGGGATTGGTTCCGGGGTAACCAGATTTATGGCAGATCAGGCCTAATTACATGAAATTAATTTAATTGAGCCCAATTAATCATTACTAAGTTCTTACCGCTCTCGCAGCGTAGAGTACAATAATTTAGGATACCAGGCTGATCTCTCATGCGACAAGTTCCTAAATTATTGCCAAGACAAGCGAGCTTACGGCCCCTTAATCGCTACTAATCTCTTAGCGAACGATTAAATGTGTGTGAATGTGTCCTAGAACAAATTAGATCTCTCTTAATTTATTCTACAAGCAAATGTAATTCTAGTCGCGATTCTAGGTTACAAAAGATATCACTTAAATTATTCAAACACAAATTAAACGGCATTCATGCAATTAATCTATCAAGAAACTAGCCATACATCATGATTAACCCCTTCATCAACCCCAAAATCCCTAATTAAAACTACTCGCAATTCATAATTAAAAGATTGAACTTACAAAGAATCCCCAAAAGATTGATGAACAAGGCTGAAAAGCTCTCTAAATTTCGTGTTAGGCATTCTCTCTAAGCTCCCCCTCCAAAATAGACAAATTGGGGGCATATTTATAGAAAAATCGCGAAAATAGGCCGAATCGCACGACTGCACTGTCGACCGCACGCCGTGCGGGTCACCGTGCGGCCGCGCGAGAAATTAATGTGCTCTGCGTTTCGCTACGTCCTCACTGTGTGCGGATCCCGCACTATACAATAGTGCGGGTACTTCTGGGGGCTATTTCTGAACCGCGCGGTGTGCGGTTCAGACTTCTTGACCTTTTGCTCTCAGAATCACCCGCGGGGCGTGCGGAACCGACCCGCGGGGCGTGCGGAACCGACCCGCGGGGCGCGCGGAATGCTCTAGAACCGTTTTTTTTGTTTTTTTCTTCCCCGTTCGCTCCCGGATGCTTCTTGGATCAATCTGAAGGTCATTTCTTCATCAAATCTTCGTCGTGAACCTTCCGGTGGCGTCCAAAACTCTCAAATCTCACTCGAATGCTCTCAAACTCGTCTTGATTGTTTCTCAAGCGCTGGTACCGGACTCTAAATTCCTGAATTTGTCTCCAAACAACAAAAAACTTGAACCAACGCCTGATAAACATAACTTGAGCTAAAATTGAGACTTGTAACACCTTAAAGCTAGGAAAACCACCAAATGCCGATCCCAACACACATCAAATGCGTGTCTAAATACGGACTAATCAATTATCGTTACACATATGGTACAAGCATAGATGTAATCGAGCTTTTCTTCTGAATAATTGTTTTCTTTTCATTTCTATTTTGTAAAAAAATTGCATGCTTATTTATAGTTATATATTTATTAATTTGAAATTACATTTTTATATGTTAGCAGTATAACGACAAAAGAAAGTAATAATTAAACATTACTTCTCCGTCCCTGATTGTTCTTCCAAATTAAAGTGGCACGGTGATTACGAAAAGTGGGAATTGTGTGGTGGAGAGTTATGCAGAGGAGAGAGAAATGTTGTGAACCACAAATTCTTTGCCAAAAAGGGAAAGTGAAGTTCTTTTTGGGACGGACGAAAAGGGAAAGTTGGAAGTAAATTCAGGGACGGAGGGAGTATTTTCTTAATAATTAATTGATGACATACCAGAATTGCACTGACCCGATGTAATACTATCGATTCTTATACCGGTTCTAAAAACTTCTAGAATCGAATCGATATGGGATTAACAAATCAAGGGGGAATCGAGGGGGGTGGGGTGGGGCAAGCTGAAGAAAAAGAAGAACAGAAGGAGATGGTGGGGCGAGCATGGCTGAAGAAGAAGAGGAAGAGGAAGAGGAAGAGGAAGATGAGGAGGAGGGGGAGGGGGGAGGGGAGGGGAAGGGGTGGCTTGGCTAAAGAAGAAGAGAGTTGGGGAGGATGGAGTGGGACGGGATGAAGAACCGATATAAGAAAAGTCCACAGAAATCTTTAGTGATGAGAAGAGACAATTTCAGAGAATTGTTGTACTAAAAATGAGTTAAAAGCCAATGAGAGTCTATGATTTTAGAAGTCAATAAGAATGAACGGAACTTTGAATACGTTTATACTTTTATAGAATTTTAAAAGTCTATATTAAATACACCTAGACTTTTGTAAACTTTTAAAAGTCCACATTGAATACATTAGAACTTTTAAAATTCATGGACTTTTGAAATTTTGCCACTAACTCATAATACAATACACCCCCTACCTTTTATCTACCCTTTAATAGGAGTTAAAAAGACTTGGAGTGACCAAATTGCCCTTAATGAAAGAATCAGACTATACCTATAATACTCCGTATAAAAACAAAAACTAGAAAACACTCCAGAGAACAACAGATACAGAAGATGCAGCGGTACAACCCTGGGCTGTGACTGCCACCTTCACCGGCTCCGGCGGCACCACCGGCCACCGTCGCGTCTGACTTTGCCGCCGCATCTGACATCGCCGCCAATAGTCGCTTTCCGCCTCTTTTTCTCTGCCACCAACCGCCGCTTGTGTTGTCTCAATCGCCTCTTCTAGAGGGTGGATATCAGGGAGTCACCTCTCTTGGAGAGACCACTATAGATCTGTAGCAAAGAGTTTGTCACATCTAATGACATGTTTGTTGCTTTGCCATCTTCGTAAATGAGTGCCATATATTAACATTTTCATATCTGAAAAATGGCATGTTGAGAGACAAAAATCATGGCTTATTTGATACGAGTAAACTAGACTTAATGAATAAAATGTTCAAAAAAATTCATCAAAAAATCCACCGGAAACCGCCCCTAATGGAGACGTCCGGACGGAACCTCCTATAAAAGGGGTGATTTGCACTTTTTTATGTAAGTTCGAGGGCTTATTTGGTAGTTCTCCCTCACTATTTACCCTCCCCCCCCACGTAAAATACTTTATATGATACAGTGTGAAATGTTTAAAAAAAGTCCCCGACAGTTTACATTGAATAATCAAACCAAATAGTGTAAACATGTTACGTCCTTACACTTCACATGCAAAGTAATTACTTTACATCCTACCAAATGCCCCACAGTGTTAGGTAAAAATTGATACCCAAAATGAGGTATCTATAGCACAGCTAGGGCTGTGCATTAACCGGGTCGGACCGTATTTTAGACCTGAACCGGACCGGAATGGACCGGTCCGGACCGGACCGGTATAAACCGGTCCGGGTTTCGGTCCTTAGTTTTGTAAGATTCCGGGTTCCGGTCCGGTCCGGGTCAAACCCGGAAAAAACAGGTCCGGACCGGAATGGACCGGTAACCTATTTTCCCGTAAAATATATACATGGTTTTGTATCATAAGTCTTTATGTTTATGACTTATTTTTGTCTTTTATTATATAAACGAATATATACGGAGTGTATATTTGGTGTCTAATTATTTCCTAAGTTGTTATTTATTTATTTATTTATGTGATTTTTCTGCTTTTTATTTGTTTCTTTATTTGCAGGTGCACATGTAGTTTATACGTAGTATATTTTTGGACTTAATTTAGTTTTTATTACTTTATAATAGATTTTGCATTTTAATATACACAAAAGATTGTAGTTTTAATTATTGTGGGAAACTAATTGTTACGATTGAATAGTTTTGATAACTATATTCCAAAAATAATAAATGAGCTAGACAAACAATTATTTAGTCTATTTAGCATATCCGCACATAAAATTATAATTTAGAACAACAACATCCAAGCCTTATTCCTAAACAATTTGGGGCCAACTAAGAACACTCTAAGATAATATTTATTTTTTAAAACCGGGTCAATTAGGGTCAAAACCGGTCCGGACCGAAAAATTCAGGTCCGGACCGGTCCGGACCGGTTAGATTCAGGTCCGGTCTCCGGTCCAAAGAAAATGATGATTCCGGTTCCGGTCCTAACCGGTTCCGGTCCGGTCCGGTCCGGTTTTGGACCGGTGCACACCCCTAAGCACAGCTCATCAAAATTTAGAGGGTTCAATAATTCGCTATATTTTCAACACTCATGCATACCATTCACTATTCACTAATGCATATCCAAAAATAAGTTTATAATTCATTCTTCCGTCCCTTAAAACTTGGCCCAATTTGATTGACACGGAAATTAATAAAGATTAAACTGTGTCATTAAAGTTTGCGCAGAGAAGCAATATTAAATTACAAATTCTTTACTTAAAAAGAAAAATTGCAAAGTTAATAGGACAAATAAAATTGATAGGGTTTTAAGGGATGGATGAAATAGTTTATTTTGAAGTTGTTGTGTACGCCATGTCTGAATGTTTCGATCTGAATTCTTTAAGTTTCAATCTGATTTGATGTGATTTTTTTATCTGATCTAGATTGATATGAATCTTTCTAATTTGACTTGAATATTTCTAATGTGACTGAGTTTATCATCATCATCATCACCATTATTCATCATCATCATCATTATTTCTCAAAGTGTAAAATAAATGTAAGTTTACTTACAAAATTAGATACATTTTCATAAAAAAAATAAGACAAAATAAAAAGACAAGTAGACACTTGCATTTGAGTATGTTTGCTCCTATTACATTTACTCATATTTTGAAAATTAAATATGTTTTTACTTGGATTGAATTTTTTTGTTCTGGTTTGATTTGGTCTGATATAATAAATGTTTGATCTTTGTGTATTTTATAAATGTAGAAGTTTAGTTTGTTATGATCTAATATGGTTTTGTCTATTATGATTTGGTCTACTAATGACATGCTCATCCATGAGATTATTTCTAAGTTTGGATAAACACATTTAATGCAACCATGTCTTTTATTTTGGAATAACTAAAATACGTTTTTGGAAATAAAAAAAAAACTCCATAAAAAACTACGCTCCCGTTCTTGAAATTCTTCCGCTTAGCTTTTTTGGGATGCCAAAAAAAAATCTTATCATTTCCCTTTTTGGAAAGTTTCGTGTGATTAACATTCATTCACGTTTTTCTTACCGAATCACAACTATTCATTTTCACTATATTCTCACGTTGTTAAACTCGAATCTATGTGAAACATAAAAGAATTTTATGGGATGGAGAGAGTAAACAAATAGAGATCATAGCTAATAAAAGAATTAGTAATCTTTGATTTACGTGTCAATGACAAGAAAATCTATGGAACCCTCTATGGTTCCATTATGGAGTCATATAACTCATGTGACATCATAACAACCACTCATTTCTATGATTGATTTATAGTGGAAGACCCCATTTCATATAGGGCTCATAAAATTTCTCTATCAATGAGACAATAAGTGTAAAACATAAAAAACATATAATTTTAAACAACATAAATCATAATGAAGACAGTTTAAGGGGGTGTTTGGAACCGATTCTGCTCCTGCTTCTTTTTTAAAGTAAAAGCAGAATAAGAATCATTTTTCAGAAGCTGGTCCCCCAGCTTCAAAAAAACTTATTCTAAGAATAAATAAGAGCACAAGAAGTACTTCTGCACTTTCACCCAAACACTCTAACTTCTGCTCCTTCATGAAGCAAAAGCGATTTTAAGAATGAGATCCAAACATCCCTAAAATAAGTCCACTTAAAATCAAACTAAAACTATTTTTTTCAAAATTGCTATGGGTACCCCAAGTATACCCCAAATTGTACCCCAAATTAAAACTTCCCTTTTTACCATCTGTTTTACCCCCTTTTCTCTCACATCTCTCCTACTCCACCCACTCTCTTCTTTTCCGCCAAAAACACTCCCCCCCTTCCTTTGTTCGAGGCTGCTACAGTACTCAAGCTGTAACACCGTCCCCAAGTATATTTACTTTTGTGTAAATTATGTATTGAACCTTATGAAATGGTTAATGAATTTACGAGGTTGTAAATTTTTGTTAATTCTTTTGCGTGAATAGTAAATTGCACGTGGGGCCCACACGGGAGCGGGGACCACCCGATATTCCCGAGACCGCATATTTTATTCATCTTGGTATAGATAATAGTTATAGGGTGGTGGACATCCACCTTGGGCCATAGGAAAGGCATTGGGTTGATCGGTTGGTCAAACGAGGCCCAATTACCGGTTTTGGATAATTTATCGGATAGCAGTCCGAAATGAATTTCGGAGACTTCCAAATTAGAGTTGGGGAAGTATACCCATCATAAAGTCCCGTAATGATTGAGAACATACTACATATTTTATTTGACCCGATAAAATAAAATATAGTTAAAACAGTCCGAGAAATACAACTTTCGGGACCGATTGTACACTTCTGGACAAAAAGGGGTGACCTCCCACATAAGTGGGGGCCAACCCACGAATTTTCCATCTCTTGGAGGATGGTTTGAGAGCAAATGTGGCTGAAAGCCATTGAGAGGATGGGAGAGACCATTTTGACACCTAATGGACCCATAACCTCAACCATTTGCCAACCAAAGACAAAAACACCATCCTCCCTCCTCTCCCACTCATTGTACTCGCCCAACACCAAGGAAAGAAGGAGAAGGAGCTCTGAACCCTCACCTTCCATAGCCAACTCGAGCTCAAGCTCCAACAAGAAAAAGGGAGGAGTTTAGGAGAGGAAAAAGGGAAGAAAAAGTGTGGTGATTAAGGTAATGACTTCATATTAGTTGTTCCTCTATTCTTTAACTACCATATGACTTACATAGCATGTAAGTAACCCTTTTAGTATCTCTACATATTTATAAATGTAGAAATAAGGGTTGAAAGGTGGTTCTATGTCCAAGAACGGACTTAGGAGCCAAAACGACCGGTTAGCCGGAAAATAACCTTTTAAAGGTTATTTGTATTGATATGGGTTTTGTGATGATAAAACCATGTTAGGAACGTGTCAAGGGTGATTTGAGAGCTTTCACAAGGTTTAAAGAGTCGCCGGAGTGGTCACCGGAGTTCGTCAAAGTTCATCGGAGTTTGGCCGGAGTTCAACCGAGAAGGGTAGAACTTCATCACGCTCATTTGAGGTGAGTGGACGGCTTAATGTCTTATAACTCTTGGGTTAATTATGAGATTACCTAAGTAAATGTTATATGTGTTCATAACGATGTTTAAAAGATGCTTAAACATGTGATTATCCAAAGTGTTTAGACATTATATGTATGACCCATTGGTATCATAAGAGAAGCATGATATGAAAATGTTTATAAAAACATATATAATGTTTTAAGGGATAAAAGAGGCATAAAATGCTTGGTTATAACTTAATACACGTTGGGATTAAGTTTGACACAAATCGGGTTTGAAATGGCGAGTCAACAAAAATGTTGACTTGGTTACCCAGGGGGTAACCGGCGCCGGTTATAGGCAAAACCGGCGCCGGTTATGGATCGGCATGGCCGGTTTTATTAAATTAATTAATAACCGGCGCCGGTTGTGTCAAAACCGGCGCCGGTTGGGCACTGTTTTGCCTATATGTTGATTTTTAATGCATGAATTACATGGATGATTATGCTTAGGACTTAAGACTTGGTTTAGTCTTGATTATTGATTATGATATAGACCTTATCTAGGATGATATGTGGTAGATCATAAGTCGGGTGGAGTACCCAAGGATCGGGCGGTTATCCTCAAAACTCGGTTATAGGGTGGAGTACCCAAGGATCGGGCGGGTATCCTCAAAACTCGGTTATAGGGTGGAGTACCCAAGGATCGGGCGGTTATCCTCAAAACTCGGTTATAGGGTGGAGTACCCAAGGATCGGGCGGTTATCCTCAAAACTCAGTTATATAGGGTGAAGTACCCAAGGATCGGGCGTGTATCCTCAAAACTCATAGATTATCATTTTGTAAATTTAGGGCCGGGCGGTGTCCTCATGTTAAGATGATTTGAACCAGGAGGAGTTCTATACACTCATAGGTATATGGGTGGGTTGGGGTTTAAGCCAAGATTACCGGCTATATTATTTCCCAAATAAACAATGACCTACGGGTCGGGTATTTCCAAGTGTATATATAATGATATATATTTCATAACTTGGGGGAAGGAACTATATGTATATGTATCACCCTATGTTTGGGTCTTATACTTGAAGCGTTAGTTATTCTACATTTAGCCTGCTACTCGCTCGGTACTTGTATTGACCCCTTCGGGGGGGCCCACCATTTCAGGTTGAAGCTCAAGCTTGCATTCTCACCTTGCTCGGTGAAGAAATCTAAAGGGAGACGTGGTTCGTGCTTCCTTTACTGTTTTAAACTATAAACTATGCTCATGGATACTTTGTAATAAATACATTTGTTTTGGGCCTGCGAGCCCACGTTTTGGCCATATGTGGCCCATGGTTAAACTTTGAACATTTCCGCGATTCGTTCAATCCAAATATGTGATGTTGTTATGTATGTTTACTTACTGAGTATGGTATGAACAATGTTCATGGACGCCTTGTATGATTAAGTCATGTTGACTTGCGAGTGACGTCATTTAGTCATACGGCGGTTGTACACGCGCTCGGATGCGGTCTGGGGCGTGACACAAGCCAAGCTCCACAAACCTTCCTCCTTCATCTTCTTGGATGGATATCATGGGGACTGAGGTGCATTTGGACGAATTGAGTGGGGAAGAAGTTCAACTGAATGGTTTGACATGGGGAGATGACGTGGGTGACGGTGGTAATCCTCTAGCTCCGGTGGGTGTTGAACTGAATGCGACTTCAAGGGAAGAAGATGGAGAAGGTGTGGAAGTTGAAGCTTTGGAGAAGGGTATGTTGATTTTTCCTCATTTTTGGTATTTTGTTGGTCAGACAAACAACTTGCAATTGCAGCGTCTGTCTAGCCTAAACTCAACGTGGTTTCATACTTGTTTTCAACTGAACATGGTTTCGTAGTTGGTAGAGTGGTACATAAAATGTGTGTGCGGCCAGACATCTTAAAATGTTTGTCTCCGTAGAGGAAATGTCTGTATTCGCATGAGGAAAAATGTATATGGCTATGGATAAACATGTATGTATTCTACTGCACGTTTGATTATTTTACTTGAGTAAGTATTTTAAGTGTGTGTGGTTTTGTTTGGAAACATGGTTGTATTTTGTAATGTGAAGTAAAATGAGGTGAATTAATTATACATATACATATAAATATATAACAATAATATATATTAATATATTATTGTAATTGTGTAAAAGTGATGCAGTGAATATGTATAGTTCTATTATGGTAATTCTGTTTAAAAGTGATGCATTACATTGTGTGTTTAATTGAACATGTATACTTTGATTAAATAACACATGAAGAAGAAGAGATTTGTAATAAAGTTCCCTTTGTTGGCATGGAGTTCCCTAGTAAAGATGTAGTGTATGATTTCTACAAGGAATACGGGAGAAGAGTAGGGTTTCCTGTTAGAATACGAAATTCAAGGAAAGACGCAGAAGGAAGCACAATTGCAATTGCATTAGAGTGCGGGCGCGCGGGAAATAGACAAAGTTGGGCACAAAATGTTTTGAAACCTCAACCTTCAATGCAATTTGGTTGCTTGGCAAAAACAAGAGCACATATAAATTATGAAGGGGCATGGGTCATTTCAACGTGTTGTTTAGATCATAACCATCCTATGAGTCCAACGAAGGCTAGACTATTTCGGTGTTATAGGAGGTTGACGCCAAAAGCTATGAAGCAAATTGCAATCAATGATGTCGTGGGTATACGACTTAATAAGAGTTTCCACTCACAAGTCTTAGAAGCGGGTGGATATGATCAACTTCCATTCATTGAAAAGGATTGTCGGAACTATATAGATAAGGTGCGTCAACTTAGGTTGGGGGTTGGTGATGTGGTGGCATTGCAAGATATTTTTTTTTAAATTCAAGCACAATGCTCCGGGTTCTTCTTTATGCTTGATTTGGATGAAGAGTCACGGTTACAGAATGTATTTTGGGCGGACAATCGATGTCGATATGCTTACAAAGATTTTGGTGATGTCATTACGACTTTTGACACAACATATCTTACCAATCGTTATGACATGCCATTCACGCCATTTGTAGGAGTGAATCACCACGGGCAATCAATCTTGCTTGGTTGTGGTCTCATCTCGAGTGAAGATACTTAAACATTTTTGTGGCTTTTTAGAGCTTGGCTTGAGTGTATGGATGGTTGTGCCCCTCACGGAATTATTACCGACCAAGATCGTGCTATGCAAAATGCCATCCAAATAGTCTTTCCTAATACACGACATCGATGGTGTTTATGGCACATAATGAAGAAGCTACCGGAGAAGTTGGGAGGGTTTACCCATAAAGATGAAATTATTGTCGGTATACATGATGCAGTATATGACTCTCAATTCCCTGTTGACTTTGAAGTTGGTTGGAATTGTCATTTGGAAAGGTGGTAGGCAATTGTGTAGTAATATTGAATGACTTGCCAGTACTCTGGGACGTAAAGCTTGTGTATGTCATAGTCACAGACAAAATATGTTTGGACTAGACATTTTGTTTCTGGGGCATTGTGGTTGTTTCTGCAACACGTACAGACAAAATTTATCTGCGCCAGACATTAGTAGTCTGGGACATAATGCTTGTGCATGTCAAACTGACAGACAAAATTTCTCTGTGCCAGACATTAGTAGTATGGGAGATAATGCTTGTGTATGTCAAACAGGCAGACAAAATTTGTATGTGTCAGACATTAGTAGTCTGGGACATAATGCTTGTGTATGTCAAACTGACAGACAAAATTTGTCTGCGCCAGACATTAGTAGTTTGGGACATAATGCTTGTGTATGTCAAACTGACAGAAAAAATTTGTCTGGGCCAGACATTAGTAATCTGGGACATAATGCTTGTGTATGGCCAACTGACAGACAAAATTTGTCTGTGCCAGACATTAGTAGTATGGGACATAATGCTTGTGTATGTCAAACTGACAGACAAAATTCGTCTGCGCCAGACAAGGTTGTAACTAATGTCTGGTGTATTCATTATAGGTATTCACTTCAAGATGATGAATGGCTTAGGGTCATGTTTGAAGAACGCCAAAGGTAGGTACCTTGTTACTTGAAACCTACATTCTGGGCAGGTATGTCCACAACTCAACGAAGTGAGAGCATCAACGCTTTCTTCGACCTTTTTGTGCACTCTAAAACAAGTCTAAAACAATTCGTGGAGCAATATGGTCGTGCCTTAAAATTTAAGGCTGAAAAAGAGTTTCAAGCGGACGCAGAGTCATTTTCAAAATTGCTACCGTGTGTTTCGAAATTTGCAATGGAGAAACAAATGCAAGGAATATACACAATGGTGAAGTTCAAGGAGTTTCGAGATGAAGTGGTTGGCAAGCTTTATTGTGACATCACAAGGGGTTGGATTTAAACCTACGCTTATTGTGAATGACCGTTGTATGTAGTTAAGAGTGAACTTTTAGTTGGAATTCACAATTACTTGCCATTGAAATTTGGCGCTTTTTTGTGTTGTGATTGATTTCAAACAGTCATATCTATTGCACACAAGAATGTCATCTTTTGCAAGTTTGTCAAAAAGGAGTACAGCGTGACAGACAAATGAATACCCTGACAGACAGATTAACATACCTAGACAGGCATTTGAATTTACTACATACATGTATAAAACTTCACATACAACTAATTGCATTATCTCAAATGCCAGATTAACATACAACTATGTTCATCTAACCGCATTTAAGAAATCCATATTGGGAGAAATCTTCTATTATACTATTGAGGTATTAGTAATTTAATGAGGTAATGACCATTGAGGAATTAAAATTCAAACAAATTCAAACTTAATAGCCAAATTTGTTTTCACCAATCTGGAACAAAAACATCATACAACATCGTAGATATACATCCACGCTTCCTATGTTTTCACCAATTTGGAATAGCATTCCACATTTATAAAGAATTCCAAAATTCCTATGCTTCCTCCACATTCTTTACTCCCCACAAACGTACAACATATTGACATCGATTGTTCCACATGTTGGAATATAGACAGACAAGTAGAAGGAAGACAGAGAATTAGGCCATGGAGTCAGACAACTAAAAGGAAGACAGACAATTAGGTCATGCAGACAGACAATTTATCAATTGTAATTAAGGTCGAATTAATACCTTGGCGCCTGTTGGGGAACATCGTCAACTAATTCAGCAACCCATGGTTTCACTTCCTTCTCTAGCTGTGACATCGTAAACAGACTATGGAGATATGGCAGCCGATCACACAATTCCCTGACATAAAAAACACTTCTAGCACTCTTAAACGAATCATATACTCGAACCAACTTCTTTTGCAAAACAACTTCTGCCAACATCGAGTGCTTGTTCTATATGTTTAAAGGAACGAAAACCTGCAAAAAAAATATACATAGTAAAAAGCCTATAAAGTTCTGTACAGAAACATATTGGTTTGCTTAACACTAAATATTACCCTTCAAATGATCGCCAATCTTGTTTGCTGAGAAGTTTGCCTGCAACCCAATTTTGCACATCGCCAATTTCCTTCCTCATGATTTGATACTACAAAAGGTTTTTATATTTGTCGGTGTCCGGTGTTCAAGATAAACGTACTACACAATATTTTCCTGCTGCCCTATTTATATTTATCGGTGTTCGGTTTAATTTGTTATACTTACCACAAGATATGGTTCAATATGGTACAGTTGTCTACAACTTTGTCTCTATTTAACAAGAAGTTGATGACATCAACATGCTAAAAGCTAAGAACAAAACAACAAAACAGTGTCATGTACTTCACAACGCACAATATATCAACATAAGAAGGTGAGAGCATGAACTTACATAGGTGGCCAACCAAAGATTACATGTGACCAAGTTTTGGAAAAATCCTCTTCGCACTTCGAATTCATCAGGGATCATTAAAACAACAATCAAAGGAGGCTGATTGTCATCACCTTCAATCCAATCCTTAAGTTCATTCCATTCATCAAGGGATTCATTGATGAAGATTGGGTTGATGGTGTGACTCGGTTCAGTAATGGCTTTCAACCGCTTTCTTTTTGGTGTTGTATAAGGGCTGACCCTGTATTTCGATGGGAATTTTAGTCGTTTAACAAGTACTCCCATCGACATTTGTTTTGGTCCTAGAGTTTTAATGGGAACACTTTGCAAGTCTGCCACAACCTCATCCCAATATGCATCATCAATTGGGCCTGATGGTGCTAACTTAGAAGCAACCACCTAAATGAAATAAGCAAGACAGTGTCAAAATGTTTGTAGACAGACATCTTAATATATAGGACAGACATATGGACTTACTTCAAGATGAGCGGGTGATATGATATCATTCGAAGTTGTACCAACATCAAACTCCATGACTTTATTTGAATCATCCATTGGTGCAGATGGTTCAGTCACCTACATTAAAAATTTAAAATGCAAGACAGTGTGAAAATGTCTATAGATAGACATTTTTATGTATACAGACAGTTATATTGGCTTACTTCAAGAAGAGCGGGTGATATGATCTGCTTCGAAGCTCTAGTAACATCACAGTGCGTGGCATGTGATTTGCATCAGCCATTTCTCCAGTTGGTTCCTCAGCCACCTACATTAAATCCACCATGAAGTTAAAAACGGTTTTAAAAGGTCTGTAGATAGACGTCTTGTATTGGATTGGACAAACAGATTGACCTACTTCTTCAGCGTATGTTGGCTCGTCTTCAACGTCCTGTTCAACTTGGTCTTTATCTTCAACCTCATGATCATTGAGTTCCATTTCCATTATCTTATTCTCTAAACCAACCTGCACAAGCACTGTATTAACACACCATGTCTCACATTTAAAAGAGGACACATCAAAGTACCTCAACTGCCTTGTCATGAGCATCAACTTCCATGTCCAAAGTCACATGCTCCGGAGCAACCTATACAACCAGCTAACTTAGAACACTACCACTCCCAATGAAAGAATCAGAAAGAATGTTATGGCATCAAATATTATTTACCTCAGCCGCTTTCTCTGGCACAACACCCTCTGCATTGAACATGTCTTCCATCAATTTCAACCTGCTTTCCAAAGCAGCGACATGCTCCCGGAGCACTTGAATCTCATCCATGACTTTCGCTTTGTAACCCTTGCCCCACACTACTTCATCCTCAATGTCATTCTCACATTCATCATCATCATCATCTACTTCTTCCTCCTATACATGAAACTTAAAGACTACAATACGATGTTATTTGAAAAAAAATCAACAAAATAAGATATAATACATCATCATTGTCCTTGAAAACCAATTCATTCAACTTGCGTGCATGAAAGAATCCTTTAGCCTTCCAGTTGAGCATAGGAACTTCTTCACTTCCAACACGTTCAACGCATTGTTCTCCTAGGTTAGGCACATTTTCATACGCCCAAACCTATAAAAATTAATAAAATTAATATGTTTGTCTGCCAAAAATGTAACCATCCAAATGTCTGTATGCACAAATAAATGTCTGTCTAGAACAATGAATTTGATACTACAAATGAATGAGACAAATTACCTGTAGAATATGAGGACATCCATATAAAGTGAACTTAGCACTAGTGGCCTTGGTATTCCTGAACCTCATGGGCTGCCCTTTCATGATACTTTTCAGGTTTTCAACCATGGTGTTATAGGACTCAAGACCCCATTGATACAGCTTAAACTTCTCAAACTCATCCGCCCACTTAACATGCTCCAAATTTATCCTGGTTTTGTTGTCCCTAGCGAGTAAAACTGTCAAAACGTAACAAACGGACACTAGCTTCACAGGATCTCCTCTTGTTGTACGCCTAAATGAATTTAGTTTGTCCTTCAACGTTTTGTAAGTAATGTTCATGGATCCACGAAAGTACTTGTCAATAAGCGTCCCTTGCACTTCTTCATCATGATTGAATACAAGATTTCCCCCCGATGATTTCAGACCAGCGATGCGTCAAAAATCAGCATACGTAAACTTTAGCAACCTCCCTTGAATATAAAACCACAACTCGTCTTCAGGCTGGTCCTTGACTAGCCTCATCAGAAGAGAATGGATGATTTGGACAAAAAATTGCATGTCTGGCACGGATATTAGGTTGCCCCATGGCAAATTCTTAAACTCTTGCAATTGATCCTTTGTCAATGCAGCTTTGACCAAGCTTACAGCCTCTTTGAAATATGAGCACACAAAATATTGGGCTCAAAAGTGCTTGCGAACTGGAATTTGTAGTTCGAATGCCCTGTATAATTAACACAAATACAAATCAAACATTTCAGACAGCTCAGAAGGAAGGACAAACATTTTATATCACTTGACAGACAAGTATGTTCATTGGACAGACAACTACACAACAATATAAGCAATTCCATATCACATGCACAACAACTCTATATCAAAATGAGGACCCAGACAATTTTAATGGTTTGCCAGACAACTATGTTCGCTTGACAGACAAGTACAAAACAATTTTAAGCAATTCCATATCACATGCATAACAATTCTACATCAAGATGAGGTGCCAGACAATTTTAATGGTTTGCCAGACAACTATGTTCACCTGACAGACAACTACACAACAATTATAATGGTTTGCCAGACAACTATGTTCACATGATAAACAACTAGAAATGGCTTGCTAGACAATTCATTTCAAATGATAGACCTCTATAATGACATCACAGACAACTTTCAAGAATTCAAAACGAAGTGACACACAACCAAAACAACCATGGACAGACAAGTTCAAAGTGGTCAGACAAACACAATGACAAACAACACTAAAATTACAACTCTATTCACACCAAGATAATATCAATCCAAAAAATATGAAAAAATTACATACCTTTCAGCCATTTTTGTTAAGCTTGTACGAACCATGGACCTTAAAACCTTGAGGAGGGCGGTTCGTTCGACGGTGGTGAACAGTTCAGGAGGGTGGTTCCTTCCTTGGGTTTCTGAACTCGTTCGAGATGAGGGAAGCTTCGCGTTGAGGTTTCTAGTTGGTTCGTCGATGGGTCCTCACGCTTGATTTCGAACAATTCGTGAGGGTGAGGACGGCGGTTGTGGCGGACGAGTAGGGTGGGCTTGAGGTCGGTGACGATGGGGAGGGGGGAGTGGGGAATTTTTCAAAACTACCTAAGTAAGGGAAAAGGTGGGGGGCGAGAGATTTGGGAAGGAGGGAGTCTGGCCGCACGTGAGAGAATGGAGAGAGGGTAAATTTTTGGAAAGGTTTTTATATGAGATACAATTTGGGCCTTTGGGGTATACTTGGGTACCCATTTTGGAAAGGCAATTTTGTATTTTTTCACAATATTTGTCGTAGAATGTCATGAGTCATGACTCCAGTCCATAATGGAACCATCGCTTCAGCGGTTTAAAATGCCTTTAAAAATTAAAATGCCTCCTGCTTTTCCTTTAAAATGCCTCCTGCTTTTCTCCGGTTGACATATCCGCTTGTTCCCCGCGCTCAAGCGAGAACCGTCTTCTTCAGCAAAATGTCTAAAGCACCTTCCAACACTAGCCCAGGTCAGTTTTCTTCCACTCTTGGTGTCCCAAATCGAAAACTTTGGGGTTTTCGACGAAAAGTTGGGGTTTTCATTTCCAATTTCAGATTCTCGGAGAAATCATAGTGGGGATACTGCACTGGATGCTCGGGTATATATCAGGAGAAAAAAAGCCAGGAAAGCAGTGGAAGTTTCTGCCGAAGTTCCTGAGAAAGAATCTTCTGATAAAAAAGTATGCCCTGCATTAATGTGTTACACAAGCGTTCATTTTCTGAAGCTTACCCCAAGTTCTCATTTAAGCTTTCTACAGGTTATTGTGCTTCCTGATATCGAGGATTTTTCTTATACAAGTGAGAACGTCCATGTTCAGTCACGCAGTCCTTTACATCAATGTAATTAAAAGTATCCCACAAAATCTTTTTTGGTCCCTTCTACAGGGTTATTGTTATCAACGGATTTTTCTTTCTCTTTATGAAAGATAATACTACGTAGGAAATAATTAATGAATGAATTATTAGCTTTCTATACACTACCCAGTTTCTTAGACCAGTCCTAGATATTTCATAAGGAAGAACGAAGCGCCGTCTCTAAAGAAGCTACTTTTTAGTTTGCACATAATACTAGAAAGGCCATTTGAGAATTGAAGCATATTGATTTGATCCCAGCTCCACAATAGCAGCCTTTCTTTTTAGTTCATCTTGTTCGACTAGATATGTACTCAATTAATAATAATGTACTCAGCAGAGTCGCACATTGTGTAACACACCCTTCTTTTCATAATAAGTTGTAATTAAAAGTTGTAGCTTGTAAGTCTGATGGCGGGTTAATGCTGGATAGTTGGAATAATGGAGAACTTGTGATAACTTTGATGGGAGCTATGGTTTTATTTTCTTTCCTAAGACGGTGTTTAGATGATATATGTATTGTTCAGGGCTTATAAAGAGAGCAATACAAAATCAATACGTCTCTTCTAACTTATCTGCATAGATCTATATGCATTAGAAGTTCCTGAAATTTGATCTGACATAGGCTAATATTGTAGCAGTAACTTGTAAATTGTAGTCCTAAATAAGTAAGCATCATACAAAATACTCAATGTAACTGATGTGTTGCATACTTGCATTGAGAATGTGACCTGATACTCACGTTGTTTTGAACTTACTTAAGTTTCAATGTTTCGTGCTTTTTGGTTTTTAAAGTGAATACCCCTTTGATGTGGTTCATTTGTATTATCATTCTTACTGGTGGGCTGTTTGTGCAGTACCTCTCTCAAGTGAACACATGATTCGGAAGGAAGTTCTGTCCTCAATAAACCAAACAGGTATTCTTGCTTTGTATTTCATTTTGGTAGCATTTCCTCACGCACATGGGTCCACTTAAACTACCGAGGAGTAGGGACTTTTGATCTCTGGGAGACCATACTGGGCCCAGATTTCAAGGACTTACGAGAGATGAACCCGGGAGTGTAACACTAGCCAGCTAGGGGAATTTAGTATCAGTCGTCCATGGCACTGAGTCGCAAATATCCTTCTATTTTTTGGGAAAGTCAAGAAAAGCAGCTTCCTTCATTATTTGGCCAATGATGGATAAAAATCAATTACTCCATCCGTTCTTAGATAAACTTCTCAATTACTTTCTTTGGTTGTCCCAAAATAAACTTCTCATTTCCTTCAAGGAAAGAATATGATGTTATTTGTTTCATTTCTAAATAAATACAAATATCAAGTTTCTAAGCTAAATGTCAATTTTATCAGACTCCTAATGTTGGTGTATCTCTCACATTCCATGATCATGATTCTGAATGTTTTTTCCACATTTATTACTTATTAAGGCAGTAGTAGTATACCGACACAACAGTAGTATGTTTTATGTGCGCTTCATGGCAATACTAGTATTCACCCGAACCCTCATTTTTACTTTTATTTATTTATTTTTTTATTTCACCCTGTGTTCGGTTTAGTTTTTCATTTAACCTATTTTCTAAATCATTTCATGTCCATCTGATCGTTTTAGCTTCAATGTCACACAACTTAGCCAAATACTAGTATTTGTCACTTCCGCAATCAATTCTTAACCAATAGTGCCATCCATGAGAATTTGACAACGCTCATACTCACCTCTATACTTCTTTACATCACTTCAAAAGTTTCCATTCTATTTCACAAGTACAATTTGGTTGACTGGTTGAGCAGACTTTGATGCACAAAGGCTGAATATTTATTTATGCTAGTTTGAAGTTTCTGCTTATAAAAAATGGTACTGTTCCCAGCACCATGCAGTTTTTTTCTTCCTCTGTGGGATACGAAGGTAAGAGCTTAGATGCAGATCCGGTGGCAAAAGGTGCAGCATTGGATTAAAATGCGGGTGAAGGAAATGCAACCATTTTAGAATCTGCATCTGGTTATCTGATTTGCGTGTGAATTTATAGGGATTGGAATGGGGAAGCTGTCCCATATAGCCGTTCCTCTCTCTGCCTGGTGCCTTGGAACCATGCTTTTTCAGAAACACCGTCCCATTTTGTAGTTCTCTGCTGCTGTGCATTTTGCTCACTCTTGAATTGGGCTGCTGCTTGCTACTCGTTGTTTATTTTCATTGCTGGTTGGTGAAGGTGACATGGCAGTTGGGCTGACTGGTGATCACTGTTAAACCCGGGATAATTCTTTTACGTTCTTGGTCTTACATGTTCGCGCCTAGGGTGCATCTATATGGGCCAAGTATCTGATAAAACTAATCAAAATCATTAGAAGCATTCATAATCAAAACCAATCAACAACCAATTGCCCAAAAGTCATTAAAGATCAGACAAAACAAGTAGTTCAAATGTGGTAAAAATTTAATGTGAGTTTATTTTTGGATAAATGGAGTAATACATTGTGCCATCAGCCATGCTCTAGTTCTTCTATTATAGAATCATTGGGAGAGATTTTTAAGATATCCATTCTTTGTATTTATATGTGTTTGCCGTTTGGCATCCTAAATATTAGAATGAGAAAGTTTCCTTCTCTTGCACAAAGCTGAACAACAAATTACAGACAAACACATATAGACACGTCCCCATATACACTCACACCACACACATCCCACATCTCACTCGAGTACCTGTATCAGCGCGCAGTATATGTTTACTTGCACACAATATATGTTTATATGCACATTCTTTTGCTCACGTGCACAATTTACTTGGTCAATAATGCCTTAACAAACCCTATCAACTAGGAAAAACTTAAACTTCCGTTTACTTGATAGTTGACAGTTGATAACTTGATACAGTGCAACCACCTTCCAACTGGGAAAAAGTCCTTGAAGGAATCCGCAAAATGAGATCTTTAGAAAATGCTCCTGTGGACTCCATGGGGTGTGAGAAAGCTGGGAGTTCTCTTCCTCCTAAGGTTATAATCCGTGTACATGACAACTATCTATTACCATTTTACGTTTTGTTGCATGTGATATATAGAAATGTATTTAGATTTAATTAAATTTAATTTGCATATTTGAGTTTTACAAAAAAAACTACATGAGGTTATTTTTCTATCTTTACTAATACTTCAGAGATTGTTTTTCTAAACATGAGAGACCGATGAGTAATTTTTTATGTTATTGGATAGAGAAAAGATCCTACACACATTTGTGTTTGTCTAAATACGGGCAACTAATACATGTGTGTATAGCATGGTAGTTTTGTTTCTAGGATCTTGCAATCCACGAATTATGATCTTTTAGACCCTTTCTGATCCGTGCTAAGATATTGAGCTAACAACCTTGGTTTCAGTTTAGTGTTAGGATTCTCGTTTGTTACCCTTTTTATTTTGATTAGTAAGGTTTTCTGGATAGACATGATAGTACCCTCCTTATATTTGAGTATTTTAGATTCAAATTCTTGGCATATTGGTTTGTTGAAGTGCATTTCAAACTACTCTATGATACAGCTCTTGATTTTACAATATGAATCTTATAATGACATATGCGAATAATAACTATCTACCTAATCGTTAGCGTATGATATTTTCTTTGCAAGTGGAAAAAATGTAAGATCACTAGTGATGACAATTTGAAATGTCTCACAATCCCTTCATGTGCATGTTCACATTAGAAGAGCATTTGACCTAAAACTTTGTCACTATGCTTTCTTTTGCATAAATTAGTAGTTAAATAGTTTTAGAAAATTCATTTGGTGCTTCTTTAAAAAAAAGAAGCTTCATTGGTGCTGTAATGTTCATGTGACTGACCCCAACATACTGAGAATGAAGGGGTAATGATGATGGTAGATATTGATGCATGGTTGATCGTGCATGTTTTTTCATCAGGAAAGAAGATTTGCTGTCCTTGCATCGTCACTTTTGTCCAGCCAAACCAAAGACAACATTACCCATGGCAAGTTGAAAGTTTACCATCTATTGTTTTCTTGAAGGCCCTTTTTCGGCTTGGTGATCAACAGTTATAAGTTAGTTCAGGCACATTTATTATTGAGACTTAGGCTTTCATGTATGTTGAGTGAAGTTTTGGAATGTTGGAGACACAAAGAGGAGTCATGGAAGGCAAAAATGACATGGATAGAGGGCAATTCTTTTTTAGGCTTTACGATTTCATGAGCAAATAGTGGATTACAGATTGTAGTGAAAATGAAGGTAATGGTGGATGACCTCTAGAGATATCTATTGTGGTTCATGTAGCCAGCCCCTGTGATTTGAAAGTAAGGTTTGATGGCTTGCTATTGTTGCTTCCTCCATTGGGATGTCCCAACAAGTGACACCAAATTTTTTCTGACAACTTATCTTCTCCACTGCATAGTTTGTATAATATATCTTGACATGAAATGACCTAACGGAAACCTCCAATCAGTTTTTCTCAGTTTACACTACATGGAGATGGGAAAAAGCAGCTATGGGAGCTCTTTTTACTATTCTTTAATTGACTCTGAAGTTCTTACAACCTGTGCCAAGTGAAAATTATCCAACTTAATTTGAATGGGATACCTCGCCAAGCATTTTTCTAATTTCTAAATGGGAGCACTGTTACTGGCCTACCACTTTCTTATTTCTGACTTCTAGAGTTCTAGTTGTTTATGCTGGCATGATCAGAAATATTGTTCTGATGGTCAGTTTTTCTTTCCTTCAATAATCAAATAGCTCCAAAAAACTCTCCTTTTCCTACTTTACCAATGCTCTTCTACTTCGAGGTCTTGCAACAATCTTGGCTATGTAATCGAAGCAAGACTTTATTTTAGAAGAGTGAATGACCAATATGATATAACATATGACCAACATATTGGGCAATTAATTTGTGTAAATATAAATAGGAGTTGAAGACGATTGCATATTCACTTAATTATATTTAGTAACTAAACATGCATTGATTTCTTTCTTTCATGACGATAGACATGCGTATAAACAAATGTAAATATATTTCATTTCAGGTTGACAACAAAAGGAATATTAGAATAGACCAAAGGTAAGTGTTAGGAATATTACTTGAAAGTCTAGAGGAGTTGAAAAGACTCTCTAGTGAACTTATGGACTCAAATAATGAGAATCTGTAAAGATGATATGCTGTTACTTATAGAATCTCTAATGTATTTATGAGCAGAACCTGCATAATATAATACTACGTAATTTAGACTTTTTTTTCAAAGTTGATTCTTTGTATCTGTTATTTTTTATGGACATTCTATAGTTATTTGTTGACTACTTGGCTTCCGTCATGTCACAAATAACTTAAAGTATGTAACGTTTTCATTTTTTTTTTTGACATTGTGATGCTTAGCAATGTGCATCATATAACTAGGCAGTTAAGACCTACAATTCCTATCTAAAATTACCTGTTTATTGCACTCCAGTAGCCGTAGCCTCTTTATCCCTCCCTACGCCCCCCATTGGCTAGTGTCTTCCCTCTCTGTATGTCAAAGATGTCTGCTTAGATCCTTGCTATAAGGAGTGAGTGATTGATGTCATCAGCGACTTTATTGCTTCTGAAAGTGATTAAAACACTGCATAGAAGGAACTAAGGAAGTACACTTTTAGAGCTTTAACTGTTTGAACCCAATTCTACACAACTTTATATGCTAGTAACTAGACTTGTGGTTTCATTGTAGTGTCGTATATGTAGGTGTGTACTTATAGAGTGCTGTTCGTTTGAGAATGGCACTTCCGGTGTGAAGCAAACAATGCATTTTCTTGGTCATCACATTGCACTTCTGCGCTTTAAACAGTGCAACTTTTCACTTGTCAGAAAAAAGCTTGATTTAAATAAAAAAACTGCCACCACAGTTTGATAAACTTTTTTGGATTGTTGGCCTTTCTAGAGCCTTTTATATTTTGAATCTGGCTTTATCATTTCTCTCCTAAGAAGATGTTGTGATTTGAACCAATATGTCTGTGTGGGCACTTCTGATGTTGCAGGAGCTATCCAGCGTCTTCTTCAAAATTGTTTGCTTACTGCAGATGCTATAGACAAAGCTGATGAGGCCACCATCAAAAGCCTTATATACCCCGTAAGCACTCGGTGAATTGTTTTGCAGTTTTGCAGTTGGGGCAAAGAATTTGAAGTTGAAGGACTTTTACCACTGTCACACAAACCCCCAGACTGTCAACATGCTGCTATCTTTGGGTTTTTGCTTAACATAATTTTAAAATGGCAGTTTGCGCATCTTCTTTTCTTACTAGGTTGGTTTTTATACGAGAAAGGCTAGCAACTTGAAGAAAATTGCTAAAATTTGCCTCTCAAAATACGATGGAGACATCCCCACAACGTTGGATGAGTTGATTCTACTGCCAGGGATTGGTCCTAAGATGGCTCATCTTGTAAGGATTTATCTCATTTTATTGCTTATCAGATTTATGTGTTTTTAAAGTATTTGTGGTCTGGAGTCAGGTTATGAATGTCGGATGGAATAATGTTCAAGGGATATGTGTAGATACTCATGTACACCGTATATGTAATCGCCTAGGATGGGTGTCACGCACAGGGACAAAACAGGTAACATTTTTGTCTGCCTTGATATTGTGTTTCAGGAATGATCTTTAATATAAAATGTTCTGAAAAAGTGAAAGCCATCCAAGAACTTTCTTGCACCTGGATAAAAAGTTCTAGCTTGTAGCATTAACACATTCCACCACGCACTAAATAGTGAAATTATACTGTATAGAGGCAGTGGGACACACAAAATAAAGAAGTGTAACCTGATATTCCATATGGACAATAGTTGATCGGGCTAAAGTCACAAGTGTAAGACTTTCAAAGTACCAATTAATAAAAGGCATTTACCGGCGGGTCTATCCATAAGAAAACTCATATGTAGATAAAACTCACTCTCACTGCCGTAACAAGAGTCGAGAATATTTTGGCATTATTTTTTACTCATAAAAATGATAAAAGCCCGTGACTATGTACATTCAGTAGAAATCTCAATGCCTTGTTCATTTTATTCATATACAGATAAATTTAAAAACTCCGCCATGAGATCATTTTTTTTGGTATCATGTTTGTCCCAATCCAGTATTATTTAGTCACATCACATGACATGAATCGAAATATGAATTTTTTATGGTGATATCATGTATCGATTCATGTTAGCCGACCCCAATATCTTTTGGGACTAAGGCTTGGATGTTGTTGTTGTTGTTGTACAGATAAATTTAAAAAGAGACCTCTTGTTTTTATATCAACTTTATAAATTATTCTTAAACTCTAACTTTACAAAACAATGGTTTCCTTGGGATCGACACAGTATTTACCGGTTACTATATCACCTTGTACCGAGTTTAGCACTTTAGCCTGATCGACTATCTTGAAACAAGTTCTTTTTATACAATTTCTCACTGACTGCTATGTGACAATACAAGATCATCTGCTACTAATGTGGTCAAGTAACACAAAAAGAGAATAACAATCAGGCTAGTGCGCCGCACCCGTTGTCAGTCATAAAGTTTGTCGTTGATAATGCAATTTTATAGGCGAATATCTAAGCATATAACTTTACCACAACTAAGTATATTTAAATGGCAATAAGATTTTGTGAAAATGGAAACTAATAATCCAACCTTTTAGCGGTTTTCTTTCAATAATCCCATCTTTTGATTATTCATGAATAATCCAACCTTTGCACCTCATCTTCATTCATTGGTCCCTGGTCTGTTAATGACCTACTATGCCAAGTTATTTTTTTATCTTTGCAAAATATTATCTCTGTGAAAGATGAGATTTATGGTAAGATGATTTGCAAAGATAAGAAAATAGCTTGGAATAGCAGATCATCAACCGGTCAGAGACCAGTGAATGAAGATGAGGTGCAAAGGTTGGATTATTCATGAATAACCAAAATGTTGGATTATTGTAAGAAGACCGTTAAAAGGTTGGATTATTAGTTTCTATTTTCCCAAAGATTTTTACTTTTTGTAATGTAGAAAACTAGGACTCCCGAGGAGACTAGGAAGTCCCTGCAGCTATGGCTTCCCAAGGAAGAATGGGATCCAATCAATCCTCTTTTGGTATGTACTATACATCAATCTGTTTGGAACTCATAAAAGTTAATGTGCTTATATTGAATTTTGTTTTGTGGGACATGCCTTCATTTATTTAAGGGAAAATTTCCGAAATAGGATTAAAAACGTTTTGAAATTCCAAAATAGGATTGTCATGTTTTTCCCCTAAATAGGAGTATCAACTATCAAGCATGGAAGATACTGCCATGTTTAAAGTCTGATGATGCCAAAACATGACATTAATTACTCCTATTTAGAGAATAACAACATGACAGTTCTATCTTGGACTTTACAAACGTTTTTACTCCTATGCAGGGCAATTTCTAATTATTTAATTAAGAAACACATAAATTAACAGAGGTGGTTCAGAGTGCTCTTTGGATTTTAGCTCAAGTATATTAATTGAGCTTCTGACATTCAACTATATTTTTGTTCTAAAGCCTAGCACATGGATTCATACATAGCCAATATGAATGTGTTTTGAATATTGTCTTGCAATGACTGAATTGTTACCATGCATGCAGAAGTAAAACCTATGATGATGGCGGGTTTAGATTTTCATCTGAATGTCCCTTATACATTTGCAACAGGAAGGGCATCCTGCTTAGAAGCACTTCCTCTACGTTTGTTTGCATGAATTGATATTGTTAGTTGATCTTATATGACTAATTGACACCATAAATTGATGCCACGGACTAGAACTAGTGGGGATTGATGTGACAGTAATGATGATGGAATACTGAACTGTGTTTTTCATTGCCCAACTCTAGCTTAAACGTTTGCAACAGGAATGGCATCCTGCTTAAAAACACTGCCTTTATATTTTTTTGCATGAATTGATATTGTTAGTTTATTTTACATGATTAATTGACTAAATTGATGCCACGGACCATAACTAGTGGGGATTGATGTGACGGTTATGATGACGGAATACTGAACTGTGTTTTTTTATTGCCCAACTTTGGCTATGGTATACCATAGTCAGCCTAATGGACAAGTCCCCACATTATATGTTAGTTAATAAGGATTGCAGATCACTACCCATAGTTGCACATAAATAAGTTATCATCATCATTATCAATACCCCAGTGCCTCAAAGGGGGAGTTGCACATAAATAAGTATTAAGTAGAAAATGTTCATGTATTGATTTGGATTATCTTTATGTAGTTTTCTTTTGCCTCATTCGGTTTCTGCCTAAGAGAGCATATGAGACCTCAAGGCTTGACAATTGTTGACAGGTGGGATTTGGGCAGACTGTATGTACACCTTTGAGGCCCCGCTGTGGAATATGCACCATTAGTGACATGTGTCCTGCTTTCAAAGAGACACAGGCCCTTTCACCCTCTTCCCGGAGGAAGAGGTCATAAGACATGTACAAATTCTTGCTGGAGAGCTATGTTTTCAGGCTTCCTTGTGCTGTCAGCATTTTGGCATTCCAAGATGCCCTTTTGGGTGATGTGTTTTTTTGTATGTACACAATATATCGCTAGCCTTTTTGTCCAGGCCGCAAAAACACTAAATTGGACGCAAGGGTGATATCTAGAATCTCAGAGTCGCATTTGGCATTGATGAATTGCATGTGATTATGTGATGAACAGTTTGATAATTTTGTTGGAATATTGATGGCTTGATGTATTAAAAAAATATAGTATGCTTGGTGTTAGAGTTTATGATTTATATTTATTTATATTTATTATAGGATGTGTCAGCCCCTGCGACAGCATGATGTACTTGAAAGTGAAAACATGCAAGTGACAATTTTAGTAATGCCGTAAAATAGTTTTCTTAGGTTGTTTGTTGTCTGTTTCTGCTTGATTGGAAAATTTGAATGATAGGTGGACTTTTTGGAAGGGTGAATGGTTACCAAACTCAATTTGTTTGTGTTTAGTTTGAAGTTTTGCAAGAAATAATATAATATACGTGTCTTGTACGTGGATCAATGATATAAGATAACTAGATAAGTATTCAAATAGTTTATCAGTTACGATTATCAACTAAAATTTATTGGAGAAATTTAGACTGAGTCATCCATCTACCATGTCTGCGGAGCCGGTTTCAAACCACAAGAGCCCTTTTGAATTCGGCATACAATCTAGTCGAGGAGGGCCATCAGGATGAATTACCATACTTCGTATTGAGCTATGTCAGCTAATTTAGCTGGGGGGGGGGGGGCATCAGACACTTGCGGTGGACCAGTAGGACTTTTAAATGACGGAAGGAGCCGAGTTGGAATTAGGATAGCCGGTTCGGTGGTTGACACACATGGTCGAAATATTATATTTTTGGTTAAAAGATTAAATAAGCTTTCGAACTAACTTAAAAAGTGCAATTCATCCTTTATTATGGATTTTTTTGAACATTTTCTTCATTAAGTCTAGTATACTCATACCAAATTTCTGCTAAAAATTCAATCGGGAAGGCAGTCAAATGAATTTTTAAAGATAACTGCGCAATTAAACAATGTAGTACATTTCAGAAAATCATTTGGCTGTCTTCCCAGTTGAATTTCTATCTGAAATTTGGTACGGGTAAACTACACTTAATAAAGAAGATGCTAAAAAAAATTCATCAAAAAATTACACCGAGAACCGTCTCAATTAATGACGGCCGGACATAGCCTCCTATATTGGCTATATAAGAGGTGAGTTGCACTTGTAAGTTAGTTCAAGGACCTATTTGACCCTTTAGCCTATATTTTTTACTCATATTTCGGGTAATTTTCCATTAAGCTAATATAGACTATAGAGTAGCATTATATGGCAAACTTCTCATCATTCATGTGCTAGATAGTCTTAATCCTGCATTACAAAAGGATGACAGGATGACACTCATCTTTGAGGGGAGAGGGCTTTCGAAACCTGCTGAATAATTATTTGCGAGAATGTAAATTGTGTTTAATCATACATCATTAGAGATAGAGAGTTTCATTTCAGATGGTTATTTCAATTCAGTTACATTTCAAAAATTCTTTGGAAAGGATTGGGGACCTCCGCTTGTGTAAGTGAAAAAGTTAAAGGCAGACTCATTTTTAAAGAAGCTGCTCCCAACATGAGTATAAAATGAACATCAATAAAAAAATAGAATTACATATGTTTTAGGAAAAATGGAAACTAATAATCCAACCTTTTAACGATCTTCTAACAAAAGTCCCACATTTTCATTATTCAAGAATAATCCAACTTTTGCACCTCATCTTCATTCACTGGTCCTGACTAGTCATGGACCCGTGCCTGGCCGGGCTTTTTTTTTTGGGAAGGAAGAACCGGAACCGGCCCGGATAGGCACCGGTTCCGGGCCGGGCCGGTTCATGTTATTTTTTTTAAAAAAAAAATCTTTTGCTTTTCTAATTAACCCCCACACTCAAACCCCCCCAAAATACCCAAACCAACCCGGGAGAAACAAAAAAAATTGAAAAAACCAAAAAAGAAAAAAGAAATAGGCCGGGCCGGTTCTGGGCCCAAACCGGGCCGGTTCCACTTTTAGGTGGCCCGAGCCCGGCCCGATTAATTTCGGGCTCGGGTGGCCCGGACCGGTCCTATAACCGGGTACCGGGCCGGGCCGGGCCCAAACAGTACCGGTTCCGGGCGGCCCGACCCGAGTCCATGACTAGTCCTGACCGGTTGATGACCTACTATTCATAGTTACTTTCTTATCTTTGCAAAATATTATACCATAAATCTCACCTTTCACAAAAATAATATTTTGCAAAGATAAGAAAATAACTTGGAATAGCAGGTCATTAACTGGTGAGGGGCCATCGAATGAAGATGGGGTGCAAATGTTGGATTATTCTTGAATAACGAAAATGTGGGACTATTGTAAGAAGGTTGCTAAAAGGTTGGATTATTAATTTTCATTTTTCCTATGTTTTATTCTCAAAGCATATTAAAATAACAAAGTAAGAAAAGCTTTCTAAAAAGAGGTGAGTGGATCATATTCTAGAATAGGCTCTTCACTCTTGTATAAGAAAGTCTACCATATTTTACTCCTATTTACGAATTTCTTTATTTTCCTTTTTGTGAAAAATACAATTACTGCGTAATAAATATAGGAGTAGTATATATTTGTTCCATGATCTATTTATATATAATCTACTAGACAAACACACATTTTTAGATATGTGAATTATTTACTTTCATATGCATGATTTCACAAATTAAATAAAGTTTTCCTTTTATAATTTCGAAAATAACAATTGTCACCTTTCTCTTATTTTCTTTGCTTTCGCATAGAATTTTCATCAGTGTTCCAAGTGTTGGTTGAAGTAATTGGTTTCCCCTCTACAAACACAATATCTAGGGGAAATAATTTCAAAAGTGTCAATTATTACCGATAAACCAATAATAATATACTTCTATACTACAGAAGTAATTACTTATTTAACACAACTATTCCAATATATGATAAAGATGATATGGAGCCACTACAAGGGAAATACCCTTTTTAGCCGATAAGGAACAACTGCAAAGCTGATGAAATGAAAAATAAAGGTTACTATTATTATTCCTATTCCTATTCCTATTAAAGTCCGTCTACATTTTTTACTAGAGAAAGTTTATAAAGATTGTAGAATTAAAGTCATGGTCCCATTTTAACACAAATTGTTGATCTTCATGCCATAGAATTTGAGATTTGAATTATGAGACATACGGAATAAAAATGAGAAATTCAGAGCCCGTTTGTTGATGGTGTTTTTCGACGTATCAGGATAGTTAATTTTTTAATCAAATATATAACTTTTGATTTCTCACACTAGATTGTGTAATAATAAGAAAAAATAAGATTGAAGTTACTTTTTTGAGTGTATTGACTAAACTATTTTCATATATAATTTTGATAAATTAGTCAGAATCAACCACTTCAATCAGAATTTCATAAATTTCATAAAGAGACCCTCAAATTTATTAGATCATTATTTATTACTCCGTATTTATTATAAAGTAAACTTCTTATAACTGAAAATCTTCACTTGCTGCGTATTAAGAAATGCACTAATCAAGTTCACGAACCGAACAACTCCAAACAGAATCAAGATAGCCAAGAAAGGAAGAGCTGAAAGCCCCAAAAACGGAACGCTAATCCAGGAAAGAGGAGGCGAATCTTTATAGAGGTGAATCTTCTTTTTCTGAACTTTAGACTAGATTGATATCGTTTGTCTCATGTCTGATTGTTCTTGTAGTTCATTTCTGGATTTCTTTGTATAATTTCTTAGCTGTCTTCTTTGTCTATCGACTATCATGTATATTATGAACCTTTCTTTAAACTATAGCCCAAATGTTGTGATTTTCTATTTCCCCCGTGATTAGTCATATCCAGCTGCAATCGATTTCCAGTTAGTATGGTGGAAGTGTAAATTAAACTACTTGTAACAAAGACGACTTAGTTTCAACTACTTCACGAACTTTCTTTAGGGTTTCGCTTCATTATTTAATCACAAGTCATGCATATCTGAGTGTGTTTCCTGGTATTCAGATTAGGTTGTGACTTGTGGTGGAGCTGTGTGTTACCGTGTGAACACGATGTTTCTTGATTGCTGATTTGTCTGAAAGTAGTCTGTTTTATCTAAAATCAATTTTGATCAACTAGTGTTGTGACTGTTGACTGCAAAATGAGCTGTTATTTTTTGTTATTTTATAGAGATGGAGCGATCTCTGTCATCTCTTGCATTCAAGGGGTCTGTTGCGGAAGCAATTTCTGATGCCAAACAGCAGAAGAAACTTTTTGTAGTTTACATATCAGGTGAGATAGAGTTTCTAATTTACTCAAGTTTTCTTGTGTGCCATAAAATACTCAAGTGGCTCTGTTTACCAAAGCACACAAAGGGTTATTCATAATCCATTGTCAGCTTTAAAATAATCGTGGACTGGATGAAACAACCAATAAGCTATTTTGCAATGCATTTCCATTTCACTTTCCCTCCCACCATCATCATCCCCATGCAATTTTTTATTTAAGTTCTCCACTAACTAGCATCTATATAAGAGTTAGTTGTATCACCGCGTGCATGTTTCTGTGTACATGTGCTTGGGCATATGTTAATATTACACCTTTGCGGCAATGATGTTAAGTGAGTCTAGGGATAACTAAAATTCTTGTTCATCATAAGACAATATGCATTTCTTATGATAATTCCCCTCATGATCAAATTCTCAAGTCATTCTAGAATCCATTTGTGCATTTTTCTTCTTCAATTGTCTGTAGTAGTTTAGTACTTGCGTTTATGATGCCCCTGGCAGTTGCTTTTGGATTATACACAAAAATTAATATAATTCGTTGCCATATAAAGAAAAAGATTATTCGAGCAGGGAAGGAATTCATCTTTTCACATTAATGCTTCTTTTCACATTAAAAAAGGCTACTTTGTAATCAGCAGTGGGGGATGATAGCCTTATACTTTTCAATGTCTATGGATTAACGAAACGTAAAGATGCAATTCGTGAACAAAAAATAACTACATGCACTCCCCAATGACATTGCTGATATGGAAATAGTGAAAATGTATTTAATACCCAAAAATAAAGAGTTTTTTACATAAATATTACCAAAAGTATTTGAAGTTACAAAAAAGTGACTGTGAATAAGGGAACACGTTCAAGAGATTAAGAGTAAAATAAGGCAAAAGGTCATATTTTAGTTAGTGGGGTTTAAAGTAGTTATATTTGTGTAATTTTTTCAAAAATAAATACATCATACAAAGTGACATAGACATGCAATTAGTGGATGTATAGCGACGAGAGATTACTCTTGCAGAACAACCATGAGCACTAAGTTCCACACCCCAAATCCATTCTTTGCTACATATTTCAAGTTCATTGCTGATTTTGGGATGGAGTGCTTTCAAATTAGATAGCTACTGTTCTTGTTCGTACTTGTTTACTTAACTTTTTCCTTTTGCAATAACCTAACCAAGTAATGCATTCTCATTTTCATCCCACATTTCAAACATGTTGTAGGTGATAATTCAGGATCTAGACATTTAGAAACCTCCACATGGTTGGACTCTCAAGTAAGTTTTTTCTCTTTCCGCTAATCCTAGTTACTAAATTTACTATTAAAATTTTCAAATCTCTTAGTTGCTTAAGTTCTGTGATCAGGTGGCAGAGTCTTTATCTAAGTATTGCATTTTGTTGCATATTGCGGAAGGAAGTAGTCATGCAATTAATTTCGCAGCATTGTGTATCCTTTATATCCGTAAATAACTAAATATGCAATCTATGCTGTCCACGTACTGTTAAGCAGAATTTATTAAGTGTACACACGGGCCGTACTTTATCTTATCTAAAGTTTGTTTTAGATTTATCCCCTTTAATAGCTTCTTATTTAGCCCATTTGGTGTTTATATACTTTTTGTCTGGATAAATGTAATTATGCATTGAGACGAAAAATGGTATGTACAAGGTTAATGGGGCATACACCAACCACAGTTATATAAAACCCAAACTTCGAAAGCCTGTGCAAGTAATACTAGACCAGCCAACCTATTCATTAACGATTGAACCAAAAATCAGGGTAAGCCTATACAAAAGCTTATAAACCGTAATACGATGAATAACCATGGTGGAGTGTCAAAATGCGCCTCTATAGTATGCACAATTGCAAACAAAATCCCATTTGGACGGGCCTTGCTGCTCACACGAGCACCTAATGTTGTCAATCCTAGACAATTGAGCGTAGCTGCCTATCCTAAAAAGCTATAAAGGTATTGGGTATAGCGCGATCACCTCTATGGTGACAGTTTAACAGTTTTATGCAGATTGCACAATTATGTCATTATGTGTATGCATATAATTACATGCCTAACATAAATCAAATCCAAAAAAGTTTAAATAGTACTAAAGTCTCAAACTCCTCGACATTCCTAATTACTTTATTACCAACCAACAATTATTGGTTTCTTGAACATAACATATGATGACGAAATTTACGAATAACTAATGTAACTTACCTCTAATAACACTCGTTAGTAGCATTGTCTTAATATAAATTCAGGTGGTCTTCATTCACCACTATTTAGTTCTCATCATTAATTTCTTCTTCTAAATTCATGTCATTTCCCACACAATTCTCACTACTTTGTAGCTGTAGAGCTCTTCCTCTTCATTAGATTTTTCTGCATATTCAACAGTTAAGAAGAACATTTGGTCAAAGAGGACTAGGACTTGAAAAAGGACAGTTGGCATTTATAGACGTGCAAGTGTATAACTCTGATTGTCTAAGATTGATGAAGAGCTGCGTCTTTTTTAGGAGCGAGACTGGATGCTGTAAGGTTGGTGAAGAAGTACAGAAGAAAAGACTTGCAAACAATATTTTTAGAAGGCTAAGGGGGATTCGAGTTCTTAATGTGCTTAAACGGAATAGTGAAATTACGCTAAATCCCCTAAACCTAACGCAAACAAGTCTAATCCGTAGCTGAGATAGTGAGACATGTTAATTGCTACTGCTGCTGCCCTCTATTCCCATTACAGCCAACCGCTCAGCTAAGGAAGTACTGGTAGCATTAGCATCTCGGGCACCACTCCACTACAATACGACAGTGCCACTATGGCGTGCAATTGAAATAACTGATTATAACTATGTTTAAGTTTACAATGACATGAAGAGGCCTGGGATGTCGCTTATTTGGAAGTGTTACATAGCTCAAGTGCTCAACAGTTATCTTTCACCTTTTGATTCATGTTTATTGACTAATCTGGGTGAAGCACATGAAGAGTTCTTCATTTATTTGGAAGTTTACATATCTCTTTAGTTTTCTTGCACCATTTGGCTCAATCAGGCTCCTACTATTGACAACCTTTTAATTTTGGAGAAACGCCATTTGTTTTTTTCGTGGCACCAAAAAAGAATTTGAGGCGCATTTTGTTTTCAGCTGCAGTTTTTGAGGGACGTGTGGGTTTCATACGCTCTTGGCTAGGGTTGATATGGGAGTAGACCACTAATGCTAGCATGGTCTAATGGTTGAGCATAGGGGCTCTCACAGTGATTTTAATAGCCCGCTACAGCGGCACCAGGCGCTACTCTACCTCCTATGTGGAGCAGTAGGTTGTAGTAAGGATTGCTAGTGCTATAGTGACAATTGTAGGTGCTATAGTGCTGGTACAGTTATTTGATTTCTCCATATTAGGCTTTAAGGGTATTGGGAGCGGGGCGCCAATTTTAGGTTTCAGAGGATTTTTAAAAGGATAGAATAGGCTTTTTAGAGTAAAAAGTCACTAGTTCATTGTAAACACGTCGGAAACTTCAAATGCCTCTCAGACTTTTACTTTTTTTTCTCATAGCCCGTTTTTGTTTGTTGCTTCGATGATCCTTCAATGAACAGTCTTGCAGTTCAAAAGATGATGCAAGTATGTAACTCTTCGACAAGTTTAGATATCTAGAGTCACGCTTCTGTGGTGATGCCAATTGTGCATCTTCATATCCACAGTACTAGTGAAATTTATAGTGGAGATGACATGGATTTAGAATAATAATAATAATAATTGGATGATACGTGATGATGAATAGTGAATGAAGAAGAAATGGATTTAGAAAATAAAATACTACTAGTCAGTGCTGATGTATACAAAATATCTCGAAACTTATGTTTGTTTTTAATGCTTAGACTTGAATTAATTCATTTATTTGTATCATCATAAGTTCTAATCAAGATACCAATTACCTTGGTTGATAGTTTAGTAATTATGAATACCATATTGCCATGAAGTTTGAACTTTTAGTAAATTTGTCATTTTTGGATTTGATGTTTGTAATACTTTGTATGCTTGTAATTAAATCGTTTATTCTGCATAAACTTCTAAGAGTAGTAGTCACACACTATATGCTACACAATAGTGTTTTCAGAGTAGGCCACTACACTTTGCTATCCCAGGTCAATAACAATGGTCATTGTGGATAAAGATATATTGCTCGAACTTTTTAGTCAGCTTGAGAATCGTTTACCCAAGCTTTGTGGTAAGTTACTATCAAGACTATTCTTGTAATTCTTTTGAAAATGTGTAAAATAGCACATGTGCTTCCTTCTAAAATTCAGTCCTACATAGATTTCCCCCCAAAATGTGATGCGCTGAAAAAGAAAATGAAAGGACACCAGTTCACATTGATTAACCGATTATATTGATAACAGGCCACAGAAATTGCAAAACAAAAGAGAAGACTTGCTTCTTTAGTTACACTGACACATTCTATGGAAGGCCAAAGGAGTGTGCTGTATATAGGCACCCTAGAAGACAATAGAAAATGTAAATAAATCCAATTTAATAGGGAGCACAAGGTCACCAATGAAAGTTCCATGGTAGGATCTCAAGCAAACCATATATTCAAACACCTTTGCTCCCTCTTCTTCGCTGAACAGCCTGTTCATAACCAAGCATGGAGTGTGGAATGTAACAACTGCCGTACTTTTTCAATGGCTGGTTCTCAATTAATATTGTATCACATAGGATGTTTTTAACCGGACTGTAATTTGTTCTGTGTATTTTACAACTGTCGAAGTCTGGTTTGGTCTGAAATCAGTCTAATTAAAAACATCCTTAGAGGCTTAGGGTGTGGTAGAGTTTTTTTTACCAATTTTTTATACTTTCAATTGCACTTTTTTTAGTTTAGCTGTGTCCTTGCATCAAGCATACAGATCCACAGAAGGCTGTTCCATGTATTACAGCTGTTGGATTTAACGGCAAACTACTTTGGCAGCATGGTGAGATTTCTCTTTTCAAATTAACATTTTTATTTTTTATTTTGGTTGACATGGAAGTATGGATGTTTTTTTATATACCTAGCTAAATCTATAGTTTTTCTCGGCAGCATTAATTAATTCATGTTGCCTTTCTTTAATGAATCTGCAGAGGGCTTCGTTGCCGCAGACGTTCTTGCATTTAGCTTACAAAAGGCATGGGTAAGTCCTCATATTCAAGCAGGACTTCTTTATACTGTTAGCCCTAGGACTAATGGATGATTACACAAAATTCTATACAACAAACAAAATTGTATTTGGCAAGTAAAGATTTTAATTTAATTGATGGGGTCATGAAATAATTTATTGGTTCATGTAGCTGACCCCTATGGTGTGGGATTAAGGTTAGTTGTTGTCTGTGCTGTATTGTCACATGAGTAAGGAAAAGAGCTCGGAGTGTCTGTTTGTCACTCATGAAAAACGGTCTGTTAGTGATCAGACTTTTATTTTTTTTCACACTAATTAAAAGAGAGCATACCCTTCAGCAATCCCAATCCCAATGGTGTTTTTTTTACACTACTCTCATTTATTAGGAGAAGGGGAGCCTTGGTGCACTGGTTACAGTGTTGCTGACTTGCTGTATGACTGAGAGGTCACATGTTCAAGTCTTGGGAGTGGCTTCTTGTCAAAATGACAAGCGAAGGCTTGCCAATGTGCACCGGGCTGCCCCTTTAGTCTCATTTATTAGGAATTTTGTGATGGCTGGATGCCACTTTATGCTTAAAGGATAATGATGTTGCCATGTTGGCAGTAGGTTACTAACAGTATGCCACATTCCAGACCAATTCAACATCCCATTTTATGCCTATAGTTGAGGAACAAAGATGTTGCTGATAGTGTGCCGTATTTCGGAACATGACTGCTGAAGTTCTAATCTTCACTTATGGTTACAAATTTACAACATCCCATTTTATCCACATGTGTGTTTCTCTTCATTCTATACATTTATGTGTAAAATGCGAAGTAATGAATAATATGATGCTTGCAGGAGACAATGATTGCTGCACTTGGCCCCAAGGCTGAACTTCCTCCTGAAATTTCGAGTTCTGTCTCATCTGAGCAGAGGAGTTCTTTGAGGGAAAATATCGAATTGCCACTTTTATCAGAAGCAGAATCGGTCTCTCATACGGTTAGGCCAACTATGTATTCTCAGACCACAGTCAAGGAAGCAGAGGCATCTCTTGAGGCTAGACCATCTAATGACTCTCAGGTTGCAGTGAAAGAAGCAGAGGCTTCTGTTGAGGCTAGACCAACTATGTACTCTAAGACCAAAGTGATGGTAGGGTTTTGTACATTGGGTTAACGATAAACTGAGTATCTTCTGCTCTATTTAGCATGTGAATAAACTTAATTTGATTTATAAAACTTATCGTGTGACAGGAGATAAATTCTGTTCCAGTTGACACATTATCTCCTGGGTTAGCTTCTGGTGGTCAATATGGAAGTGGTGGAAGTAACAACTCTGCTGTCCCTGTTGCAAAAGTGGAAAAGTCACCTGATGTTGGCGGAGACGCTACTGGCAATTCTAAAGAACGGAGTCTCTTGTTAACAAATAAATCAAATTTATCTGCCCAACCTCTGGTACTAGATAATGAAGTCTTCAAGGACAGTAGCAGTAAAGCAACTGAAGCTGAGAAAACGAATGTATCAGATCCTTCAATGGATGTTCATTTAAACATCAAACTACCAGATTGTTCCAGTTTACAAGTGAAGCTTTTAGCAACGGACACTTTGAGAGCAGTAAAAGGCCATATTGATAGGGAACAAGACATTGGCTTTTCTTATGACCTTGCTGTTCCGTACCCACGCAAGGTCTTTGATGATCAAGGTATTAAGTCCTGAGTTACATTAGTGGAGGAAAAAAGAAGTAAACAGAGCATCTTAATCTTATCGAGTGCGGTACACTCCATATGCACATGCATAGTCCCATTTTCCATCAATGTTAATGATTTCCAAATGGCAATCACATTTCAAGTTTTGAAATGATTCTTAAGCATCTCGACCTTCATGCTATATATGTTATATACAGCTCCGTAATTTGGGCCATTCCCCAATTCCCCTAATATTGAGTTTATTACTCCCTCCGTCCCAAATTGCAAGGCAATTTACAATTTACGATGTTTGACCGACGATAAAGCAAACGGATCCCTGTCCGCACTCAAATTATTTTTAGAAAAAAAGAAATACATATTCAGAAACTACATTAAAAGCTTTACGAAGTCGCAAAAACCAGAATCAAATTTGATAAAAATTGATATATAAAGTAAGAGATTAAGAGTGATTTGTGTTGACCAAGTGAATAGGAAAAGTATCTTACAAAACGGGACTGAGGGAGTAGTAATTTAGTATTTAGTATGAAGAGGAACTATGATGTAGTGGTAATGCTGTTTCCATGAGATATTATGACCTCAAGGTCATATCTTCTAGCAGGGAGGTAGCCTCTATAGTATATATGGCAACACTACATCTGGTCTTAACAGATCGAACCTTTCCCGGGGCCTGCAGATATTTGTTTAAATATCTAACCCTGCACATGGAAAAAGGGAGTAGGGTGCCCAAATTGTTATTTCCCGAGTTTCGATGCTGCACTTATATGAGTATATTCTGTCTTTAATTTGTGTAGATCTAGATAAAACATTATCAGAGCTGAGTCTCCTCAATCGACAGGCACTGATAGTGGTCCTTCGTCACAAAGGAAAATCACCATTACAAGACCAGAATGCTTTGCCTGACAAGACTGGTGCCACAAGTGGAAACACTGAAGGATACTTTTCTTTTGTTAGGCGACTCTTCTCTTATCTGAATCCTTTCTCTTTTCTTGGTGGTGGTGCTAGCTCAGCAGATGATGCACACATTTCTCAAAGTGGCATGTCACAAAATGGTAATTTTTCTTAAATTGTTTTGATATTTGTTGCTGAATCTTTGGGAAGAAATTCCATTGATGCTTCTCTCACTCATTTCATTTTTCTCTTTATTGCGACAAACTGGTGTGGTATTGCATGCTTAGCTATTGGTGCATCTGTTTATATTGTTACAACTCAGAGTTTAATTTAGAATGGCAACACTTGGATGAGCTTTCTTGATATTCCCATGGATCGAGCCACACTTCGGACCTCTTCTTTTCGTCTGAAAAGATGTTATCTGATTGATTTAATGATTTTGTTTAGATGTGGTATTATTCTATTATCTGATCTGGCCTGAAAATTTTTTGCTCTGATTTTCTATAATGGGTTGTGGCCTGTCTTATTTGAATAGTTCTTATCTTGTCTAATGTCCTTGTATGAATATAACATATGATCTGATCTAATTTAATCTCTTGTCTCTTGTCTGATTAGAATTAAAAAAAGGCAAAAGGATAAGAAACAACATAACACGTTTATCACCTTCATTTGATTCATTTCGTAATTTAATATGGAGGAAAGCACCTCCATTCTTGGTCCATTTTGCAAACCCATAAAAATGAACAAACATACAAATAAATAAACATAAACACACGCAAAAACATGAGTCAACTACCAAAAACAGGGCTTATTTTTTCATGACAGTGTGGCTTGATGAGATAACAACCCTTCAAGTTAAATACATTTTAGGTAGATGCACTCTATGGTGCTGCTAGTGTTTAAACTTTTTTTATTTAGAAAATAAAGCTATTTATGGTCGGAAATTCGTAATTGAATTAAAATAGATTTGAAAAACCGTAATAGGATTACTAGGGATTATATAAAATCGCGTATATAATGATGGAAATTTGTTATGTTCTACGGAACAATGAAAGTTGTGTGACATCTCCAATTTAGAATTGATGATGAAACTCGGGAATTGCCTGCATTCTCCAATTTAGAACATTGAATAAGATAACTCAGAGTTTGAAATCAATCAAAATGTGGAGTTAAAGATCACTCCAATCTTGATAGCGGTCTTGGATATTTGGTTTTGACTTTTGAATGTCTGGTCTAAATCACTAACAAATCACATTGTAATATATGATGTTACAGGAAATGATAGACCATATGGTGTTAGTCCATCAAATGAGCTTACACCGGGTACCAGCAGCAGCAGTACGAGGAGCAGGAATCGGTCTGCATCACACTTTGGAAGCAATATTCATACATTGAAGCATGATGATGATGACAGTCCATTCGGAGATGGGAATGCATTTTGGAACGGGAATTCTACTCAATTTGGTGGTAGCGAAAATAAATGATACAAAATATAATCCTTGCTTGTTCTCGTAAGTACATAAAGGTTTTTGTTTTTTGACTGACTTTTCTTTTAAACTGCAAACAAATATAAATGTCCCGACTTCTTCTCTGTTGTAATGAGCTTACTTACATAAAGGCTGTTTAGGCTTTTAGCGATCCTCGATTATATGTTTAGCAAACTATCTCAAGTACATGTATATTTTTTAAAGTTCTATGGGTGATTTTTTTACCTAAGAGCTCAGAGTTGATATGTTGAGTATATCTGTATATGGTTTATAGAAGAATTCTTTTTCCTTTTTTTGTTTCTTGACATGGTGATACTGTGACTCTGTGAGTGTGGATATTATCATGTTATTATTATCTGACTCACTCATACTTTTGATATTAGGTTATTTTGTCTAATGTTTTTTATGACGCTGTTATTCATATAAAAAGAACAGTAAATATGCTATCAAATCATAACAAACAGAATTTTCAACTTAAACGATTTTCGTGAAAAAAAATTGCATGTGAATATGCCCATGTTGCGACTTGGGATTATAACTGCAAAACTTAAATTATTTTTCTCAAATTATAAAGTTGATCATAATTACAAATCAAGATCTGTAGCTCGAATTTTTAGTGTAATCCAAGGGGTTTTGTCATCAATATTATTATATTATAAAAATAAAAGTTTTGAACAAAAACGAGACTACTCTTAAATCTTAATTAGAAAGGGATTGGGATGGGCCGACCCAATCCGGACCCAACCTGGGCTTGTACTGTTTGTATTGGCTTGGACCTAGTTGATCCGGGCCGGGACCGGTGGCTTGCATTTTGGTGGGCCGGTCTGGACCTGACGACTACTAATTCAAAAAACAATCTTTAGTTTGATTGTCTGCTAATTAAAAAAAATAGGCTTGACCTGACTCAGGCTCGGACTGAGGCCCGGCCGGGTAGCCTGGAGCGGAACTAGTACAGATACAAACTAGGCCCGTATCGGGCCTGAATTTCGAAGTCCCAAAGTCCGTTCGAGCCCGGGCCCACCTGGCCCGATCCATGTCTACCCTTAATCTGAGATAAGTGACTTACAAGACTTTTGTACCCTCACTCAATGGCAGTGGCCACCAGCGAAAGTTACCATTGGCGCGTTGGCGGCCATAGTAACCACCGTTGGCAACACTCACCCGGCTACAACGATCAGTGTTCTCAGTTACAGTGACAACCGCCCCGTCTAGTTGCTATTGTTCAACACCTTCCGGTGGTCGTCCCATTAAGTGACCGCAGCCCTAGCCCACCGTAGCGGCCATTGCCTTAGATTTGTGAACCCTAGTCGCCTTGAACATGTCCAATGGCATTGCCTTGTTACTGCCGCCACTATCACCCACATCGTTGATAAACCCTAGATGTAATACTATAGTCGTCGTCTGATATCCATATCCACCGCCATTGGCCTCTTGCCACACAAATGGGACAAATTCAACATTCGGTTACCAAGAAGCTGATAATAGGAGAAGAAGAGTAAAACAAAGAAGACCAACCTGGATGAAGGCGATGCCCCTGGAATCCTGGATGATGGCGGTGGTGGCCTTCAATTGACGGAGATACTGACAACACTATACTACTAGAGTAGAAATCGGAGAAGTGAGGGGCGACACTAAAGTCAATGAGAGGTGACGACAATGACAGGGGGAAATGTACAGTGACATGGTGGACACGGAAAATCACACGAGAAGATCGATCAGCATAGAGAAAAGAAAGTAAAAGGAATTGAATTATTGGTGTTTTAGTCCCTACAACATTTTTCCAATTTCTTTTCTATCAAAATTAGAATTTAAAATTACTCTTATTCCTGTCCATATAAAAATCTATGGTTTATTTTTCTTTCACATTATTTCTATACCAATGACTAGTCTAAATTACTGTAAAACAAATGAGCAATACGGACAGAGCATCATTTCGTATTCTTGTCGGTTACTGTACTACAGAGCACACAACCATCCGAAATCCCTCCCAACGACAGTCTTTGAGCAAAACACTAGTGGAAATACTTCATGGTTTTCAAATTGATTGAAATTTATGGATTTTAAGTTAGACTGCTTATAAAGTTAATCCCCGAGAAATGGTTAAATCGATGTTAATACTTAATAATATATTCAGAAATTACACTGAAAGTTATACAAAGTTGTAAAATTGAACTTACAATATGCTAAAAAAATATTGGCATTCTAAATAAATGCAATCAAATTATGTTGACAAATCGGTTTGAAAAGTGAACTTTTTACTCTGTAATTTGTATTTTGCCTATCAATTGCTTTAAAGAACAGTAGCTTCACACGAAACTCCAGATCATTTAAGTTCAGCTCAAACTACAAACCATTTTAATTTCAAAAATGCCAAAGGAAATGGGGTACTCATTTTGGGTATTTTTTTTAATTACTCATTTTGGGTATCTTCAGCATTACTCTTTTAATTTAATAGAATTGTTCACCCCTCTAAACTTCAACTGTGGCTAGGGGAATAGTGGGGTGGGGCTCCAACCAAGCCAAGCGCCCATAAATAAAAGATCTTACATTTGAAAATACCTCAAATTTTAAGATTACCTTAAAAACGATAAATCTCATATCAGTTTTTACGATCGGTTAAAAAAATGAATGCTCAAGATCCTATGTGAATGATTAATGTGCCGTGTATTCTTGATGAATTCGATATAGACTACGTGACTACGTCAGATGGACGTCAATGTAATTTTAAAAAATTTATGTTACGAAAATGGTAGTAGTGTCTTTTTACAACTTTCCCACATGTTAAACTATTTTAAACATTTTTTTTTTAATTTTCATTTTTGAGTTTTGTATTTCTAAACTTTCTATATATTTTATGATATATTTTTAATATCTAACTTCTTTATTTTTAAATTTAAGTTGCAATTTTCAACTTTCGAGTTTTAAATTAGTATTTTTCTTACTTTTAATGTTTTTCTAATTATTTTCATCTTTTTTACATTATAATACAGTGTAAATTTTACATTTATTTCTATTTACAAACTATCATTGAGAAACTATTGGAATATACTAGTTTACCAAAGAGGTCAAGAGGGTGAAGAGGGATTGAGTGAGACGGGTCGACCCGACCCGGGCTCGATACTGTTTGTATCAGCTCGGGCCCAGTTAACCGCGACCGGGACCGGTATCGACCCGGTACTCAGATAGGTATATTTTGGGATGGTGAACGTGCTCGGATTTTGGTGGACCGGTTGGGACGGCCAATCCAGGCCTAACGGTCAAAAATTCAAAAAAAAAAAAACAAATTCCCCTTTAATCCCATTGGCTGGCTACTATCATTTCTGGTGTCAACACTACCTGTGGAACAAGATTTAGCGCAATCGAGAATGTCCTAACGAATTATAAAACGAGATTGAAGGCACAATCTTTTGAGACGCTCATTTGTTTCCACGATTGGTTGAAATTCCGGCATAAAACTCAAGAAGTTTGAATCACCCTCAACCACCACTTCATGGAGGAAACAACAATCGACGTTGGCGGAGATTCGAATTGATTTTTAGCAAATGTATTTATAGTTTTAAATTATACATTCAATTGTATTTCATATTTCAAATAAGTATACATTCAATTATTATTGTCTAGCATTTGTTGAATTAATCTTTAAAAAAATCAACAAAAAAATGGGCTCAGACCGACCTGGGCTCGGACCGAGGCCTGACCGGGTAGCCTGACCGGGTAGCCTGGACCGGAACCAGTACCGGTACACACCGGGCCGGTACCGAGCCTGTATTCCTATGTCCCGAAGACCGCCTGGGACCAGGCCTGAGCCCGACCCGACTCGAGTCCATGCCTGAGGGTGAAGAGAGGGAGCCGTACATGTATCTCTTCGAACTATTTGGAGCATATATTGCGGTATGTGAGTTGTATATACATGGTTTATTTGTGAAAAGAAAATTGTACGGAGTAGTAGTTGGTCTATTCTTGAAAGAAAAATCAAAAGTGAAAATGATACAAAGTATTATTTTCACTCTGAGGCTTATTTGTGAAAATTTTCCTAAATAGAACTGAGTAAAATTGCAACAATAGAAACTTAGGGTTTGTTTACTAACAAAGATATTTTCCTGTTATTTTTCGTTCCCAAATTTTCTGTTTTCATTTTCCAGTTTTTCTGTCTCCAATTTTCTGTTTTCATTTTCTAGTTTTCCATTTTCAAATCTGGAACCCGAATTTCTTCAACTGCAACTGTGAGTCTGTGACACACCAAAATACCGAAACTACGGTTCCGGCCCGGAAACGAACCCAGTAAACCCAAGTAGGGTACTCGGCCCCGAGTATAGGAAACTCAGGACCAAAACCGCCTGGTCCTAGTCGGTCTCAACGACTAGTTTGACTAATTTTTTTGCCTTTTCGACTATTGGTTAGCAATTCAACGACTCTTTTGATCACTTTAAAAAATGATTTAAAAAACGAAAACCGAACCGCCGAGTCGTCGACCAGGCCGGACAAAGACCACCAGGTCATTAACTAGAAAAGACGGGGACTGCCGGATCATTGACCGAATCAAATAGGGACCGTCGAGCCATTGACCGAATCGAATCTAATCAGGACTGCCCATCGGTCAACCAAACCAATCAGGCCTGGTCATTGATCGGACCAGAAAGGGACAGTTGGGTTGTTGACTTGATTAGACCAGGACTATCGAGCCATCGACCGGACCACAGGTACTGTCGGGCCATTGATCAGACCAATGAGGAACCGTCGGGTCACTGATCGGACTGGATCGCCGGGCTGTTGATTGGACCAGATAGAGATCACCAGGTCGTTGACCGGACCGGACGAAACTCACATCGAAGCGGGATCAAATTCACCACTAGGCGTAAGTATGCAAATTCATTAAACACGTTTGGAAAACTAGTAAAACTCATTTCACCAACTCATTAAGGAAAACAATGACATCTCATTTTGTTGGCTTCGGAAAATGATTTGGTAACGCGTTTTCTGTTTTTCCTTCTTTAGTTTTCCAGCAAAATTATTCACTACACACATTTTTCGTTTTCCTTTTTGCAAATTTCAGACAAACTGTAAAATATCTTTGTTAATAAACAAGACCCTTAAATTAATTTGTAAAGGCGCTCTAGCGAGAGGTTCTTTACCCTAGCGAGAGCTGAGCGTTTGTGTTTTCGTCGTCATTGTGCGGCACGGCCATAGTCCCTCTTGTAGGGTTGCGATTCGCCGTCTTTTGTGCGGCGTGGTTTGTGTATCAGCGAAGGGCGTCAACTGCGGCTATCAAAGGAGCACCTTTGTTGTGAAGATCGATGGGGAATATCGAGCAGGAAGCAAGGACAGAAAAGAGAGAGGATGGCGGCTGGGTGAAAATTTTGATCGAGGATGGTGAAGAAGTGGCGGCCGAGTCGGAAGAAACCCACTTTGGTGTTTCAACAATCATAGAGATGGTCCGACCTCCGCCTGAACCACCGCCAAGGGTTGATCGAGGTTCTAGGGTTCAAGAAAGTCATTTTGTTTGTTTAATTTTCTTCACATTCAGTTTTTACTTGGTTGTTTACTCTGTTTTGATTGTGCTATGTTTTTCCGGTAAAAGAACTCTAGATGTTAGGAAAGGGGACGAGAAGTCTGGTCTGCAAGTCAGTGGCTCAGTTAAGCCCAAAGCGAGATCAGCGAATTATATGACTTCTACGGAGGCAATTAATTCAAAGTCTGGTTCTAGGGCGGACGGCAGTCAGAAGACTTTTTGTCATCTTGTAACCCGCTTATGTTTTGTTATGATAATTTAAGCCAGTTTCGTTCAAAAAAAAAAACGAGACCCTTAAAGTTTAAATTCCCAAAATAGGACTAACCTTTTCTACTCTACCCTTTCCCTTGTCATGCTTAATAGGAATTTTTATATAATAACAATAATAATAATAATAATAATAATAAAATATAAATAATTTAAAAATGTAAAAAATAAATAAAAAATTTACATGCCTCAACCACCTTCCGACACCGCCACCTCGAGTTGCTGAAAAAGAATGCCAAGTCAAAAAAATGTCATCGTGATGATAATTTGAAAAGAAAGCTATATTTTCAAAGAGTAAAAATGTTATATTAATGACATTTGGAGGAATGTGGCATTTCTTTACACAAGAATTACATTTTTTTTCAGGTGATCAGAGTTGTCACAGTGGCCTACATGTTTTTAAATATTTTTTAGGATTTTTCTTTTATTTTTTGGAATTTTATTTTATTTTTTTACTTTTTAATTTTTTTTAAATATTTTTATTTTTTTTGTATTTTTTTTAGTTCAATTTATCTTTATTTTTCGTGTTTTTACTCGCTCCATTTCAATTTGTTTGACGCACTTTGACTTCACAAAGATTAAGGAAGCAAATTACTGAAGGTAAACTTTATTGTGGAATACACTGTTTTGATATTATTTAGCACTGTTTTAATATAAATTTGTTTACCAAATAAGGAAATAAGTATGACATTCATTTAGAAACAGCCAAAAAAGTAAAGTGTGTCAAACAAATTGAAACGAAAGGAGTATTATTTATTTATAATTTTTTTATTACTTTTATATTTTTATATAAATAAAACTATGATTTACTTATTAATAAAATAAATCTTTTAGAAATTATAGGAAGGATTGAATATGAAGAATGGGCATATATTACTCCTATTTTGGAAATAAAAAAAATTGTAATCCTCTTGCATTTAAAAATACTTTTAGTCCTGCCTAGGCTAATAGCCGAAATATTCATGACTGACACAGCTTTAAGAGAAAAAATAATATCCAAAATAACGCACAAGCTTCAAGTCTTCACAATTGATAGGTTCGTGTATGCTTTTTATAGTACATAAAATACGCCAACCCTCACTACTAAATCATACACAGATACACAAACTATGCAAGCACAAACAAATCCCAAAAAACAATAGTGCAGCTGCAAGCCCATAAGAACAGCAACATCAGTACATATGATACTATGATCCCAAGTGTAATACATATAGAGAGTGCTTCATGAGTGAGTATAGAGCAGTAGCATAAACGGAAGGTGTAAGGAGGTGAAACCTTAACTGCTCCCCCTTATTGAATTATGTTGTTTTACACTGAACATGCATGCCTCAAGAAGAAGAGGTTGTGGAGGATGGATAGAATGCTTTCTGCTCAGCACAGGTCAGGAATTCATGGGGCCCTGCTTCTTCACGACCAACACCCAGCAAGTCGAGGTAATACAGGTAATGGGAGATGATGCTGTTCATGGCGTCAACATCCTCACCTTTGCCACATACTTCATCACCATAGAGTATGTTCATGGTAGCACCGAAGCCAGGAACTCTCTTTTCTAGAGTGTCGTTCTTGGTTGGCCTCCAAGTGTTGACAAGAATAGTATGAGCTGAGGGCTTCCCCTTACGCAGTGGCGTCATCCACATCAACATCGCAGCCTGGAAAGCCAAGGTGGCGTTTTGTTCAAGGTATTCAGGGTGGTTCAGGAGATCCACATTTAGTTCTTCACCTACGCGTCCATAATTGAAGTTCCTGATCCAATAATTATAATACTTATAATATCAACAGCAACAAAATAAATATAATGAAAAATAAAAGAAATAAAAGTAATGGGCATGATGTGACTTTTATAATGCAGTGATAATGGTGGTATTTTCACAGTAATGGTTGTGACCAAGGTGATATTCAATTTTACTATGCAATGACTACAATGGTATTGTAGCAGTTGCTAAGTTTTATTTTAGCAATTAAGGACACCTAATCAAATAATTGTTAAATATACAAATAGTCATAGAGCTATCATAGTAGTATAGTACTAGTAGTATTCTTATACGCAGTAATAATTTCCCATTCTGTTAGGGACCGGGCCAATTAGATAATAAGAATAAAGGACCGAGCCTATTAGAGTATTAATAAGAATAAAGTGTAATAGTTTAGTATAAATAGAAGATAGCAAGGAAGGGTTGAGCAGGCTGTTTTAGACTTTGACTTTGGGACTTTGGGAAGATCGAGAACTTTCTCTTTCTTTGGGGGGCTTCGGCCAGAATTAACTCTTCTACTTCTGTAATTGTTTTCTCGTAATCAATAAAGGTTCATCTGTTCTTGTTGATCTTTGTTAATTTTTGTCTGGAAATCTGGTGGTTCCTATCATTGGTATCAGAGCATGTCGATCGCTGGAGGAGATACACGCGCAAAGATGGAAGGAAGAATCAACGAAGTGCAAGCGAATATGGAAAGAAGTCTGCGAGAGTTTCAGACTAATATGGAGGCGAGTTTTGCGGCGAGCTTTGCTGCGTTTCAAACAAGTATCGCAAATTTGGTGATTAACACCCAAAATCGGTCGCGGAACAGATCGCATGCGTCAAACGCATCACATCGCGAATCTCATCATCTTCACAAGCTAAGGTCAGCGACTACAGAGGAATCAGAAGAGAGAATGCATCGCAGAACATCTAATCGATCGAGGGCCAAGTCGCAGACGAAATCGCGAAATTCTTCTCACCAGTCTCAGTCGCGGAAAGAGGCGTCATCATCATCGCATACATCGCGTCGATCTCACCACCACCCATTCGCCTCGCCATCACCATTCGCCTAGCCACCACCACTCGCGTCACTCACGAAAATCAGTCAGTTCAGGGGATTCAGAACGGTATTCTAACCATTCGCAAAAATCAAATTCCTCTCAGGCTGTCAGTTCGCTTCCAAGAAAAACGCGAGTGAAGGAAGAATCTCCATCGTCGTCGCTGGACTATTCTTTCAGTTCACAGGTTTCTTCTAGTGGGGAATCTCGCAGCTCATCAGCACCCAGGTCTTCATCGGTTGTGGTTCTACACCGTGAGCAAATGTCATTAGCTTCAAGAATTTTTTACATAGGCCCATCAGAAAAAGAATCCCAGGGGACCTCACCAACAAGAATGAACACAAAATTAAAACCGGTGGTCCCTTCAGTGACGGAATCAGACTCTGAAGAGGAGGTTAATCAACGTATAAGATTGTCACCAGACAATATGAAAGGTTCAGAAATACTTAAACCCAATCAATGTTTACCAGATAAGAGTTTGGAGGGGTGGGATAAGATTGATTGTTTCAACATTGATATTGTTACTCCTGTGAAGTGTATTCACAAGGAGTTGAGCGTACAAATTGTTGGGAATCATGAAGTAAACGAAAATAAAAATGTTAGAGGAATGCCAGTAGAAGGTAAACCTGTGCAAAAGAGAAGGGTAGGTTTGGAATGTCTTCATATGGCTAATGTGTTTGCTTTCCACAGCTATGAGAAACTCTATTCACCATTCTGGATGATCACACTGAAGAAAATGTTATCCTTGTCCGATGATCCCGCTTTGACAATTCCCTATTCTGTGGCTAGAAGACCAACTTATAGGGAAATTGTTAGATCCTATCTTGATTCTCCTAGCCTCCAGCAACAGCTATGAAGATTTAACGACTCTGGTTCTTTAAATGTGTTGGAATCTAGTATTGAGAACACCAATCTGATCAAACTCTGGGAAGATGATGATCTGGATGGAAACAAAGGGGTCTTACCGATCTGGGTGGTGGCTGATTCATCAGAAAAGATGGGTTTGATAAAGTCATTTACTCACTGGGATATTGCAAAACCTAAGGGTGCATCAAGTCCAAAGCAAGAGGCAGAGTTATTAGGTGATGTGATTTTTCAATGGAAGACGGGTTTATTTGAAGAGTTCCTAAGTAAGGATAGAGAGCTTTCTGCTACCAGGACTTTGTTTCTGCTCTTACTTGCACTGTTGAACATGAAGATAAAGGTTCAAGCACGGAAGCTACAAGTTCACCGACCCGTCAAGTATTGGGAAGGAAGAGGCGCCAGAAAGAAGGGGAAGCAGAAGATCACAGCGGTTTCCTATCACCCTCCTTGAGGGCAAGGTGGATGTTTAGGGGCGGAGTATTGTTAGGGACCGGGCCAATTAGATAATAAGAATAAAGGACCGAGCCTATTAGAGCATTAATAAGAATAAAGTGTAATAGTTTAGTATAAATAGAAGATAGCAAGGAAGGGTTGAGCAGGCTGTTTTAGACTTTGACTTTGGGACTTTGGGAAGATCGAGAACTTTCTCTTTCTTTGGGGGGCTTCGGCTCATTTTGGGGGGCTTCGGCCAGAATTATCTCTTCTACTTCTGTAATTGTTTTCTCGTAATCAATAAAGGTTCATCTGTTCTTGTTGATCTTTGTTAATTTTTGTCTGGAAATCTGGTGGTTCCTATCACATTCCTATTAGGCTATTAAGTTTGGGTTTCATATTCCTACCGGTTCTGAAATTGTCAGTTCAAAGTCATCAATAATCATTTTTCAATTGTATTGGTAATAATACTAATAATAATAAGCACTAGAACCCAGAGAAATGGTTCACATATATAAGCAGAGAAAGATTACCAGTAAATAGGCAAGGCACCACGGCCATGATACAGAGCTCCAGGAGCACAGGGATAGATCACTGAGTAGCTTTCATCACAGTAGGCTTGCATAGGACTCATCTCCCTATTATAACATAGACCCCAAGCCAATGGTCCTCCAGTAGCCACACCATAACCACCTTCAATCAAGGAAGAGACCAAACAGGGTTCAAATAGACAGTAAAGTGCTGCATGAACTTTCACATACAACTTCTCACAAGACTCAATGATCCTCACAAAGAATAAAAAACTACCAAGTCTTCAGTTTTTTTTTCTTTCCCCTCACATCTGTTCTTAGTAAAGGCCCCAACTATACATGTAAAATCCGCTGATTGCTGGAGCAGTGGAAACATGAATCAAATATGATTTCTATATAAACCAGGGCACGGCATGAAACCTAATATTAACCCTACAAACCTGTTACAATGTCTCTAACTAATTCAACACTAACTATGTGATCTCTTTTCAATTTTCAAATAAAACTCGAGATCTGGCATTTCTCTCTCTAATTAGAGAATGAAACAGAAATATACTGAAGCTGAATGGTTAGTGGTGCGAAATCATAATGCTTGTTTATTTTAATCAATCAAATAACAATGGATAAATAGAAAGAGAAGGGTATGCACCGACATGAAGTTCTGGCACCAATATGGCCAAGGAAAGCGGCGAGTTCTCTCATCTGCATTTTCTTGCCGCCAGTTGTGCAGAATCCTTTTGGCTGGTAGTCCGTGGAGGCAATGATAAAAGATTTGTAATCATAGAAGCCGGCGGCGTGAGCAACGGGGGAGTTTCTCTTGGAGAAGAGATTCTCAAACTGGTAGGAATCGAAGAAGTCGGTGATGGTCAAATTACAGCAGAACTTGGAGTGTTTGCACTCCCACTCTTTCGAGCATATCTTCACTCCCTTCTTCATCACCACAGTCGTCGGAGGCGTTTTTGTCAGCTGCTCCGCTTCACCACTCACAGACGCAGCCGCGGCTGCCAGAAGCATTACCACCAAGCCAACCAGTTTCAACGAAGGCCCCATTTCTTTTCTCTTCAAAGTGATCTAGGCGATAACCTAACCAGTGAATATTTTATGAAGGGAAATGGAAGTGGATGATCAGATGAGTTGAGATCTGGAACGGGAATGAGAAATGCAAGGGAAGTTTGCTTCTTTTTGCAGTATGTATTTGGTGGTTCCGGGGGGGTGAGATGAAGAATCTCTATCAGAGGAAGAATGGACGGGGGAGATGAAGGGAAGAACCAGGCTGGATTTGGGAAGACGCAATTGATGGGAAGGATGGTGAAGGCTGACCCACCGTTGCCAATGCTACTCCACCGACACCCTATTTACAAACTCATTTCAGGTTTCCTTGAATGCACTTTTTTCCTTCAAGGTTAATTCTATTCACAGCCACCAAATTACTAATTACAGCCACAAAATATTTTAAATATCTATTCTGCCCTTACACAATACTCCGTATATTACACTCGTCAATTATACAGAGAAGGCATCAGTAATCACGAAACCTCGACGATACTTTTTCATCTTATTCTCCTTCTGTCATCAACAATAATCTCTAAACAACCTTTGTGTGTGCACTAAACTCATAGAATCTGATGGTGTGTCTCGATTTCTGAAGCCTGTGCACTAATTGCTCACTTGTTTGAATTTCTGAAGCCTAGAAAATCTGCTAACTAAAATTTTAAGCTTTAGATGATTCGTATATTGATAAATCTAGAAAACATAAAAAGGAAACGTTGAGAGCACCAAATGAAATCCAAACTACGCTTACAATATAAAATAAATGCCAACCAATACGAACCACAAATTAGTCAATCATTAGTGCTTTGATTCCCCACTAATACCAACCACAAAGTCAAGAGTTGCTAATTTACCGAGCTAATTAAATATCCACGCCACTATATCACAAAATTTGGCAAAATAGAGGCGAAATAACCATTAGATGAGAAGAATGATTAGATTCGAGCAAACTTTTTCCACTATAGAGAAGATTATTGAGGTTCGTGCGTGAAGTTTCAGGCTTCCAACTCAATAGCTACGCCACCGTTGATCACCACTTCTGGAGGCAGTCAGTCCGCCGTGAGTGAGACGCCGTCCGACTTTATCCCCTTTCTCCTTTTTGTTCTTCATCGATTCAGGAAGTTCAGACGACATATAGCTTCTACCGTTCTACGGTGGCTGCAAATTTCAAGTCTAGAAACTCCCGTGTTTTCAGTAATAAGGGTATTGTAGGAATTATAAGAATACGTGGTTGTGGTTAGTAAATTAGTGTGTGTGATTAGAATTACCCTTCCTTCAAACAAAAACATAATGACCGGGTGGGTGAGCGGGGTTTAAGAACTCTATGAAGGCTATTTTATACCCACTTTAGACCATTTGGAGTGGTGAAAGAGTCCAAATATCAAAAATGGACTCCGTCAATATGAAAAAGTCAAAACAGTGTTTTGACTTTTATTTCACTCCATTTCAGCACCGTCAATAAAATACACCCAGGGCATTTTTTTACATATCAATTTAGTAAAACATTAATTAAATTATTATAAGTAATGTTTTCCTTTTAATTTTTTCTCCGATTAATCATAAAATAAAAAAGACACATTTCGATGTAAAAATAAATAAATTTCATTACTATTTTTTCCCAGCAAACTTTTAATTAAAAATAATTGAAAAATAAAATGAATTATTTTAATTGTTGGATTTCAATTTCAGTCGTTGGATCAATCTTTTTCCTGTTCAAACAGTGTCCAAATGATCACAACCTTGAATCTACCAATTTTTTAAATAGAAACATGCCATTGTTAGTGCCCCGTGACACATGCATAACATTATCATGACGTCATGCATTTGGTTTATATCTGCGCACCATGCCCCAGAGGCCATCTTCCCCCTGCGCAACCAACTGTCAGCCCCCAACCTTTTTACTTTTTTTTTTTCATTTAATTTTAGGGAGTCAACTCCACCGTTCAAATATAGAACCCTCCATCCCATTACCCATTTTTACTCCCCCACTTTGCCAACCACTACAAGGAATTAGGAGTCCAAAAATTTCACTTTTAACATTTTGGACTCCTAATCCTACCCCACTCCAAGTGATCTTATAGTTTATACCCACCTCCGTGAAGGCTATTTTTTTGTCTGTGAAGCCGGTTCACAGACAAAATATGTCTTTGAATTCCTTCATAGACATATTTTGTCTGTGAAGGAATTCAAAGACAAAAAAAAATAACTTCACAAACATGGGTGAGTACAAAAGTGGGTACAAAAGTGGGTATAAAAGTGGGTACAAACATCATTTTCCTTAAGAACTAAGTATGTTTTCTTTTGGACTGTTCTCAGTCCCAGACCAGACCAGACCAGACCAGACTTAAACAGACCAGACCAGACCAGACTTAAACAGACCAGACCAGACCACACCAGACTTGGATAGTTATAAAATACACAGAGATCAGACGTTTACCAAACCAGACCAGACCAGACCAGACCAGCAAATTTCAGTCCAAAAGAAAACATCCTAATTGAACATATTTATGTTTTGTTTGGATAAAATGAGAACTAATTGAACATATTTATGTTTTGTTTGAATAAAATGAAATTAAGTAAATCTAGTGTAATAAAGTAAACGTATGCTTTGTGTCGGCATTTAAATATGTCAAGCCGTCAAGGGCATATTGTCACTTTGGACAAAGAGGCACCGACTTCCCTAGCTTCTCATGAAATTGTCATAAATTTCATAGCTTCTCATAAATTGTCACCTTGGATAAAAAGGCCTCGGCTTCCCTTGCTTCTCATGAGATTGTCACTTTAGACAAAGAAGCATCGCTTCCCTAGCTAATGTCGCGGCATTGAAAAAAGTCAAAGACATTCCTTCTAATTGGAATGAAATCGTGACTACCCAACCTTGGGTCTCTCTTTTCAAGGATAATAGGGAACCCGAGAAGGGTATGAAATTGAGGTATATTGAACCGGTTGGAGACTTTGTTGATCTTTCTAATAGAAAGATATCCTCTGTGGTTGAAATTTGGGGCTTTTGCCTTGTTGCTTACTTTGATGGGCGTTTTCCTGGATACAAAGCTAATCCATGACATGATGAACAAGTGGAATGTTCCATACCAAGTTAGACCCCATGACAAAGATTGGGTCATTTTCAAATTCAAGAGTGAGGGTGATAGAACTAAAGTTCTTTTGGGTAGACCTCATTGACCCCAGACCGCAATCTGAGCGCGTGCACAACCGCCGTATAATCAAGTGACGTCACCTGCGAGTCAACCTCACTTAATTACACAAGGCGTTCGAGAAAAACAATTCATCCATACGCAGTAGTAAACATACATAACAACATCACAATTTAACCAATGAATAGCGGAAATATTCAACGGTAAGTCACAGGCCACATTCGGCCAATAGCATGGGCATGCAAGCCCAAAAGTAGTGTAAACAAATGAAAATGTCCATGAGCAATGTTTTGTAATTTGAAAGAACATGAGGAAGCACGAACCACGTCTTCCTTGATTATGATGTCACCCGTAGGAAGGTGCAGGTAGCAAGCCCTAACTTCAACCTGAAAATGGTGGGGGGGGCCCGAAGGGGTCAGTACAAGTACCGAGCGAGTAGCAGACTAAATATAGAATAACTAGCGTTTCAAGTATAAGACCCAAACATAGGGTTATACTTATATGAATAGTCTTTTCCCCCAAGTTATGAAATACTTATTAGTATATATATACTTGGAAATTATCCGATCCGTAGATCACCGTTTTATTTGGGAAAAATAGTAATAGTCAATGTTCTTGACTAAAAACCCCAACTCACCCATATACCTATGAGTGTATAGGACTCCTCCTTGTCCCTATTTCAATATCATATTCTATGAGTTTTGAGGATCATAATCCTTGGGTACTCCACCAATTTATTTTCGAGTGTTAAGGACTTTAAGTCCTAGGGCCCTCCACCAAATTCTGAGTGTTAAGTACTTTTAAGTACTAGGGTCCTCCACCAAGTTTGAGTGTTAAGGACTTTTAAGTCCTAGGGTCCTCCACCAAGTTTTGAGTGTTAAGTACTTTTAAGTACTAGGGTCCTCCACCAAATTTTGAGTGTTAAGGACTTTTAAGTCCTAGGGTCCTCCACCAAGTTTGAGTGTTAATGACTTTTAAGTCCTAGGGTCCTCCACCAAGTTTTGAGTGTTAAGTATTTTTAAGTACTAGGGTCCTCCACCAAATTTTGAGTGTTAAGTACTTTTAAGTACTAGGGTCCTCCACCAAAATATTTCCCTATGATCAACCTCCTATCAACCTAGATAGAGTCCATATCATATTTATTCATTCATAGCTAAATCAATACATAAAGCTTATGTATCACAATCCATGCAAAACCATGCATTTATATAAACTTGTAACTAACTAATACCAACCGGTATTAAGTAACCCATTATACATCGGTCAACATTTTTGTTGACCGCCAATTCAAGCCTTGTACATATCAACTTAATTATCATATAGTTAAGTTAATAATACCCATTTGTACTTCTTTTACACTTCAAGCAAATATGCATTTTATATAATTCCTCATATCTTCATGCATAAATAATTAATTCTTTTCATACAACTTAATCATGTTGGCTAATCACATGTTTAAATAGCTTTTAAACACCATTATGAACACATATAACATTTATTTAGGTAATCTCATAATTAACCCAAAAGTTATAAGATATTAAGCCGTCCACTCACCTTGAACTAGCGTTATGAAGTTCTACCCTTCTTGATTGAACTCCGGTGAAACTCCGGCGACTTTTGGTCAACTCCGGCGACAACTCCGGCGACTTTTCCACCTTTGTGAAATCACTCGAAATACCCTTTACAAGTGCCTAACAAGGTTTTATAATCATAAAACTCATATTAATACAAATAACCTCTAAAAGGTTATTTTCCGGTGAAGCGGTAGTTTTGGTCTCTAAGTCCGTTCTTGGACATAGAACCATCTTCCTACCCATAAATCCATACTTATAACATGTGGAACCATACTAAGGGTCCTTCACATGATATATACCTCATATGGTAGAAGAAAAAATAAGGAGAAGTTACAATAAGGTCATTACCTTAATTATTCACACTTTTCCTAACTTGTTGCCTTCTTAAAACCTCCTCCTGGGACCACTAAAGCTTGAGCTCGAATTTGCACCAATGGAGGTGAGTTTGGAAGCTCTTCTTCTCTCCCTTGGGTGTCCTGGTCGAGATAATGGGGTGAGGGGGTGATGGGATGGCCTTTTTGGCTCATCTCACCAATTATGTGGGCAAAGGGTCCCATCCCACCTCATGGTTGACCTTCCTCCCACCTTCCCTTGTCTTTGCACCCCCAAGGGTCACATTTGAGCTGAATAAAACGTGGGATGGCCCCCACTCATGTGGGAGGTCATCCCTTTGTGTCCCGATGTGTACAATCGGTCCTGAAAGTTGTATTTTTCGGACTGTTTTAAATATATTTTATTTTATCGGGTCAAATAAAATATATTACTCACTCTCAATCATAACACCCCTTTGAAATAATATATATTCCAAAACTTTAATTTGGAAGTCTTCGAAATTCATTTTCGGGCTGTTATCTAATAAATTGTCGGTACCGGCAATTGGACCTCTTTTGACCAATCGGTCAACCCCAGGCCTTCCCGTGGCCCAAATAAGATGTCCACCACTATATAAATATTATTTCGACCCATGAGAATAATTTATGTGATCTCGGGGATATCGGGCGGCCCCCGCTCCCGGTGTGGGTCCCACGCGCAATTTACTATTCACGCGAAAGAAATAATAAAAATTTACAACTTCGTAAATTCATTAATCCTTTAATACGGTTTAATACATTATTTACATAAAAGTAAATATATTTGGGGACGGTGTTACACTCATAGTATCCTTGGAAAATCATTTCCTTTGAAACCTTTTTCGGATGACTTCTCTATGGATAGTGATGAGTTCCTTAAACTCCCAATTTGAGTTCAATTCTCCCATTTACCTATGAGAATATGAGAAGAAGATATTATTAGTGAGATTGCCTCGCGTGGTGGGAGTACCTATGTCTACGGATAGGGTAACTCAAGAGAAAGATAGATCCCACTTTGCTCGTGTTTTGATTGATATTGATGCCTCTAAGCCTCCTCCTCTTGAGCTTAAGATAAAGCTTCCAAATGGGAAATTTCACACCCAATATGTGAAATATGAGAATTTTCCCAACTATTGCTTTCATTGTAAGACTTTTGTCCATGATGTGAGTTTTCTCGCACTTAAAATAGATCGTATTATAGTGGTGTAAGTACGAATATCGTCTCCACAGGGACGGACAAAAGGGAATCAAGAATTAATTAAATTCAGCGATTAAAAGAAATAAATAAAATAAATGCATCGTGCGAGATATGATTGGAATGGAAAATTAAACTGCAACTAAATGATTAAAAATAAATGGGTTCTCTCTAATTAATGACGAAGGGAACAGGGATTGATTCCGGGGTAACCAGATTTCTTGCAGATCATGCCTAATTACATGAAATTAATTTAATTGAGCCTAGCTAATCATTACTAAGTTCTTACCGCTCTCGCGGCGTAGAGTATAATAATTTAGGGGACCAGGCTGATCTCTCATGCGACAGAATCCTAAATTATTGCCAAGACGAGCGAGCTTACGGCCCCTTAATCGCTACTAATCTCTTAGCGAACGATTAAGTGTGTGTGAATGTGTCCTAGAACAAGTTAGATCTCTCTTAATTCATTCTACATGCAATTGTAATTCTAGCTGTAGTCTAGAATTAATTATGATTAATTCAAACACAAATTAAACGGAATTCATGCAATTAATTCATCAAGAAACTAGCCATACATCATGATTAACCCCTTCATCAACCCCAAATCCCTAATTAAACTTCTCACAATTCATAATTGAAGAATCAATAGAATTGGGAAGAATATAATTAATTGTCATCAATTAAGAAGATGAACTTACAAATAATCACAGGGTTCTTGAAGAAAACGATGTAAAAACGCAAGTAAATTTGTCCCTAGGCCTCTCCGTAATGTTCGTAACCCTAAAAAAGGGGTATGGAGGCCTTATTTAAAGAATAAGGGGGAAAAATCCGAATTCTGACCGAAAAAGGACTTAAATTCGCGTAACACGGGGGTAGGCATGATCGTGCCTACCCTATCAGGCACGGTCGTGCCTGGCTTCCAGTAGCTCCACGCGAGTTTTAGTTTGAGGCACGATCGTGCCTCCTTCTAGGCACGGTCATGCCTAGCCTGTTCTTCACCATTTCTCAAGTCCGAATTTGACAAAACTTCCTTCATGGAAGTTGTAGATAATAAAGTCTTATATCCACCACAACTTTCCGAATTGGATTTGAATCATCCATTCAAGAGATATGAATAAAATGGTGGAAGGTCGCATTCTGAAATCACAACAGGGATCATCTGACTTCATCGTCTGTTTTCACTTTCTTCCTATCAGATTCTCACAAAGGTGTCTTCATATGATTTGTATCCCTTGAAGTTAGCTCTCATGTGGACTTTGAATCGTGTTCTTGGGATGTTTCTACAAGGAGATATGCTTGAACGATTCACAGAAGGTCATCCTGATCGTCGTTTTCAAGCTTCATTCATCTTCTTTTGATCCCGTAGCCAATCCTAGAGCTCTTTTGTCATCAAGTCTTCATCGTGAACCAACGGGTGACCTCCAAAGCTCTCAATACACTCTCTAATGCATCTCGAATCACGGCGATTGCTCCTCAAGCACCGGTGCCGAACTCTAAATTCCCGATTTTGACTCCAAATGACACAAAACTCGAACCAACGCCCGGTAAACATAACTTGAGCTAAAATTGAGACTTGCAACACATTAAAGCTAGGAAAACCATCAAAAGTCGGTCCCAACATGCATCAAATGCGTGTTGTAATATGAACTTATCAGGCCACCATGCATTTACATGCAAGGTCTTAGCCGAGAATGAAAGAAAAGAAAGAGAAGAAAAGGCGGCTGCCATGAAAGATAAAGATGGACCCATCATTGATAAATCTCACGACAAATCCATTCATACTCAAAGGAAAGGAAAAGAACATATGACTTTGGAAACTCATAAGAATGAGGGATTCAAAGTTAAGAAGGCTGACCATCCTTTCTTTAAGGTGACAAAATTTAAGAAAAAAGGGCTAACAAATTTACCGTCAAAGAAGAGGACAATGAGATTGACCCTCCACCTCAAGAGGTTGATGCCTTTGTTGACAAAACAGTCCGGGTTATTAAAACTACTCTTCTTGATGCCTTTAAGGATGAGGTTGTAGTTGATATGGATGCGGAGGACATCCTCCATCCTATCATTAAGATTAAACACCAAGATGAGGTTGATGTTCCTACCATCAAGCTTAACCATAACCTTCGAATTGTGGGGGGGGGGGGGGGGATGTTCCCGGTTTGCAATTTACTAAAACTTGTTTGGAAGACCTTCCCGGGGTCAAACCAAATAACAAAGGGTATGTCTATTCTTCTGAGTTCATGAAAGGAGTTTATAGACATTACCTTAACCGTTACTCTGAGGATGGATATTTACAAGGGAACTCCTTTAAGGTTAAAGACCTTAGGAAGTTCCCCCGTGACTCCATACATATTGTTCATGATATCTAAGACGTTTTTCTTGATGATGTTGTGGTCAAAGTTGATCTTCATCTGGAGGAGAAACCTTGGATACATCTTAAACACATTGAGGATGTTAAGGAATAATTTACTAGACTTGATGACTATTTGGAGGTTACTACTAACAACTTGACCAAAGGCATTAACTTTACTAAAGAATGCTTGAAATCTTTCCCCGGGATCTATCCCACGGATGAAGGATATGTGCTCTCTCCTCTCTTTATGGAAAATGTCTATTTTCTCTTCATGGATAGGTATAAGCCGAAGCCAAAATTTAAGCTTAGGCCGAAAGGTTTTGATGTTATAAAGGATGTGGGGAGGAAGAACAAAGAATGTTCTTAATGTTTGCGTCTTCTTGGAATATTAGAGGCCTTAATAAGGTGTCAAAACAAAATTCTATTATCTCTTTCATCCGTACCAACAATGTCCATGTTTGTTTCTTACTTGAAACCAAGTTGTCCACTTCTAACTTTGATAAGTTTATGTCTATTAGATGGCCAAATTGGTAATCTATGACTAACTTTGATAAAATTGAGGGAGGAAGAATGAACCTTCTTTGGGACCCTACCTTTGTGAACTTAAGTGTCTTGGAAGTGGATAAACAAAACTTACATTGTGAGATTAAGTGTAAGGTAACCCAAAACACTATCTTTGCTACTTTTATCTATGCTCTTTATACGGTGTTGGAAAGAAGAAGTCTTTGGGAGCATGTTGCTAGTCTTGAACCCAATATTAACAACCCTTGGCCGCTTGTTACGAGTGACTTTAATTGTGTGGGCAACCCTAATGAGAGGATTTTCCCACCCACCCCTCGGCTTACTACAGCCAACACCTTAATGATCTGAAGATTCAAGCCAACCTTGTTGATACTCCTTCCACCGGTGAATTCTTCACTTGGAATAGATGCTCTCTTTGGGCTAAACTTGATAGGGTTCTTATGAACTCCTCCTGATCTACCAATTGTATTGCTTGCAATACCCACTTCTTTGAGATAGAAGTTGATTTTGACCATTGTGTTTCTCTTGTGACTATTGGGCCTAACCATCTTGGTGGTTCTAGGCCTTTCAAGTTCTACAATATGTGGCTTAAGCATGAGTCTTTTACCAATATCCTTACCACTCATTGGTACCAAGATATGTATGGTACACCTCAATTTAAGCTTGCCCGAAAGCTTAAAAGACTTAAGAGGCCTTTAAAAGAGCCTAACTTCAATGCCTTTGGGCATGTTTCCGAAAAGACAGAGGAGGCAAAAAAGGAATACAAAAGAGTTCATGCTCTTTTGCTACTCTCTCCTCTTGATGAGGCTATTAAGCACAATCTTGCTTTAGCAAAAAAGAATGCTCTTTATTTCAAGAAAGCTGGGGATGATTTTTTTAGACAAAAGGCTAAAGCCAATGAGTTGAGTGTAACACTTGGCTGTTGTCAAATTCGCCACCGGGTTCTAAACCTTCTGGTTGCAAATGGATCTTCAAAAAGAACATGAAGGTGGATAGAACAATTGGAAAGTTCAAAGCCCGGTTAGTCATTCAAACTTTTAGATAACAACCCGAAATTGACTATTTTAGCACGTA